TTCTTGTTATTTTTTCTTCACTCTTAAGAATTTCATATCTACGTCCATTTCTCTTTCCAGCTTCCCTAAATTACTTCCAACATGCCCCCTCTCAACTTTATGTCCTCTTTTTGGTAACCATGGGCGGTGCCCATGGCTGTGTGGCAATCCACTAGGACATGGGAAATTGATCAGTGGTCACATGTTTGTTTGTTTTTTAAAAGGATGGTAGTGCTGGAGAGATGGCCAGCAGATAAGAGCACTGTCTGCTCTTCCAGAGGTCCTGAGTTCAATTCCTAGCAACCACATGATGGCTCACAACCATCTATACTGACATTGATGCCCTTTTCTGGCATGCAGATAGAGCACTCATCTACATTAAATAAATAAATAAATCTTTGAGAGTGAGAGAGAGAAAATGTGCATGCAATTCTGTCTCCTTCAGAAGCTGTGAGCTGCCAATAGCTCCTCAGGAAGGGGTGGGCCCAGACAGCACCTTCCCAGCTATGCTGGAATAAGAGGAGCATTCTAAACACAATTCTCAATCAGTGCCCAAGCGTCTTCTCATTAAATTCACAGTAAAATGAAAAGAGCCTCAGGGACTGTGTGTTTTGCTTCCAGCTCCTTTGCAAATGGCCCACTGGCTACTCTCTTCCGCCTTCCTTGAGTCCTGTTCCGTGGTGATGTAAACAGGAACAGACATCTGGCCTTAGTGAACTAGTGTGGAGGGTGCTGTGGGCGTGCAGCATCTTACGCTTTGACCATTGTCCTTCACAGGTGCTTTTCTAGTGCCCCCCATGGAGTTAGTATCCCGACACCGTTTGATACAGTGCTGCTTTGTGAGCTGGGAGCTCTCCCATCGTGGAAATCCATTCAGTTAGTCACTGGGGGTTACTGAGCACTATAATACGGCCAGGGTTTGGGAGGTTCTGAGTACATATCAATGACCAACCAGATCCCATTCCTGCCTTTGTGGACCACGAAAGACAGAGAGCACACACAGACAGAACAGCATGCAGTTCAGGTGGGCACAAGGACACGTCCTGCTTGAGTCCCTGTGCGACACAGTTAGGGACAACACAAGCAGCTGATGAAAACAAGACCCAGCCCCAGCACTGCTGCAGTGAGGCTGTGTCTACAGCACTCTCTTCTGCTAGAAGATCTTGCCTGAGCACAGCCCCGTCTGTAGCCTTTGTTCTGTTCTGAGCAGCATTTGATGCTAGAATTAAAGCCAATCAGAGCTCTTTAAGCTAACTTTGTTGTGGTTTTGCCTTTTGACAATAGGACAGATAGATGGTTGGTCACGAGCGCTTGATTATGCCGGAGGACTTTAACCGAGACGCCACAAAGGGCGGCAAGGTATTGATAAAAGCCAACACCAGAATGATTTTTGAATGCTGCCTTAATCACACAAATCACACAGATATCTAAGAATTAAATCTTATGGGGAACACAACCTGGTCACAGGTACGGGCTTGGATACTTTTGTCCCTGATGTCAGTATCTTCTAGGTCCCACAACTTCGAGGTTCCAGTCGGACCTCATGTGTCTTCTGATGACTTGATAGGCCTCGGAGTTTCTCTGCTCCAGCCAGGCCTCGGATGCAAAGGAAGCTGTGGTTTCTCGGGAGCCGCCTTCCAGAGCCGGTCTGATAAGGTGGTCCTTACAGGGCCAGTTTGTTTAGGTGGTCTGGGATTTTCAAACAGCCATTTAGGAATAGGCTGGTTATTGGTGGTCTTTCGGCTTACTCACCAAAGAGTCTAGACAGCCGAGTCTGTGTGGGCTCAGGCTCCAGTTTTTATACATTTTTCAGGGCATAGCTTTGACTTATCACTCATTCACACGCACCAGCTGCTAATTGGCTGGCATTACCTAATTTCATTACTTAGTGCCTTAAGAGCATTACTTTAATTTCAATACTTTATTCTAAAACATCGCTTAGCCTACTACTCTTTCACACACACACCAGCTGCTAATCAGCTGATATTATTTAATTTCACTACTTAATGCCTTAAGGGTGCTACTTAGTTACTTTACTAAGAATATCTTCTAATCTAACCCTGACAGCTCTGCTGTCTTACAAGCTCTCAATGCCTTAAGGGCGTTACCCAGTCACTATCACCAAAAGTGTCTCTTAATTTTGCTCCTGACAGCTCTGCTGTCTTACAGGCTCATTACAATGGTGAAATGTGGTAAATAAAAATGATGTGAGGAAAGCTGAGTGTGGCAGTGCTTGCATTTAATCCCAGCACTTGGGAGGCAGAGGCAGGCAAATTGTTGTGAGTTCGAGGCCAGTCCGGTCTACAAATCAAGTCCAGGACAGCCAAGGCTAAAGAGAATCCCTGTCTTGAAAAACAAAACAAAAAGATCTGAAGAAAGAGATTGGGAGTAGAACGTGATTCTGGGCTAGAACTCACTGGTAAAAAAAAAAAAAGTCTGAACAACGTTGACCAAGTTCAATCAAGAAGGAGATAAGATTGGCTTGTGTTTGGGATAAGATTGGCTTTGCCTTTGCTACACAGTGACACTCTGGCTTCAAAGTCATCCAATTCAGCCTCCCCAGGAAATAGCACACAACTGCTTATCCAGAACCAAATGATCAGCCCTGAAAAACATACACGAGTAACTTTATATGAACTGAGCAGGTATTTTACACAACATACACACACACACACACACACACACACACATACACACACACACTTAAAGAGTCTATGGATTTGAATGAAATCAAGGTGCATACAAGAGGTTAAAGTGAGGAAACAAAAGGGAGAAAATGATGTAATTATACTATAGTCTCAAAAAAAGTATTTAAAAAATTCAAAGTTGCCAAGTGGTGATTGTGCACACCTTTAATCCTGGCATTCAGGAGACAGAGTCAGGGGGATTCCTGAGTTTGAGGCCAGCCTGTGCTATTGAATGACAATAGCAGGGCTAGTTATAGAAATCCTGTCTTGAAAACCAAAGCCAAACTAAATCAAAACAACACACCCATAAAATTCAAAGAAATAGTGGGGGTCTAAAGAGATGGTGAGAAGTTAAGGGCCTTTTTATTGCTTTTAAAGATTATTTTTATTTGTGTATATGTGCATGTGTGTTAGTGTTTTATGTCTTGGTGTTTGTCATGTGCTCATGTATCTTGGTGCCCACAGAGGTTAGAAGAGGGTTGCAGCTGGGTTTACAGGTGTTTGTGAGTCAACTGATACAGGTGCTTGGAATAAACATTGGAAGCTGAGAGAATAGTGCACAGGAGGCTGTGAAGAGGTGGGGAGGGAAGGGTAGAGAGAGTTAGAGTGGGGAGTAAGGAACTCTGTGCACAGAAAGGTCATTAGGGACAGCAATAATAAGCTATATATTCCCCAGAGCTAGAAGGGGGTCTGAGTTTCCCCCATAAAGAAATCAATGTTCTAGCCAGAGGCAGTGGTGGACCCTTTTAATCTCAGCACTCAGGGAGACAAAGGTGGTGGATCAATGTGAGTTTGAGGCCAGCCTGGACTACAGTTCGAGTCCAGGACAGCCAGGGCTACATAGAGAAACCCTGTCTCAATAAACCAAGAAAAATAAAAGGAAGGAAAGAAGAGAGAGAGGAAAGAAAGAAGTGAACATTTGAAGGCCTGTGATCCCAGAACATGCAAGGATGAGGAAGGATTACTGTTGTAAATCTGATGCCACCCTAGGGCCATAAGTTTCAATAGCTTGGGCTACAGTGTGAGACCCTATCTCAAAACCAAACCACACTCAAAGTTTGTCTTTATGTATCAGTAAGATAGCAAACAAAGATAAAAAGGAAACTGCTCTAGTTTGCTTTCCATTGTTGTGAGAAACATCAGGACCAAAAACAGCCTGGGAAAGAGAGGATTTCTTGTCTTCTTCTTTTCTTCTACAGAGTCTCTTTATGTATTCCTGGTTGTCCTGGAACTCAATGTGTAGACCCAGTCTGGCCTTTGAATGCACAGAGATTCTCCATCCTGCCTCCTAAATGCAACCACACCCAACCTGGATTTACTTAGTCTTAAAGATTACAGTTCGAAATAAAAGGAAGTCAGGGCTGGAACTCAAGGCAGGAACCTAGAGGACAGAAGCGAAGCAGAAACTATGAGACTAGGCTCTTGCTTGGCCTGCCCAAGAGAAGCAGAACCCACAGTGGGCTGGGCCTTTCCACTTCAATCATCAACCAATAAAATGCCGACCGACTGGTTTACAGGCCAGTCCACTGAAAACGACTATTCAATTCACATTCCCTCTTCCCAGACCAATCTAGCCACTGTCAAGTTGACAAAAACAAAAAACAACTAACCAGCATAGACGGAATGCACAGAATAAATGAACAACTTTTGAAAACCTATATATGGGTAAAACCAGATTCTGTTTCTCCAACCTGAGTTCCTATATCTGAAAATCAGCTACCTTATCCTCCCTTTCTGTGGCACTTTGACCTCCACTGTTTGGGCTCCAAAAATGGAAAAACGGAAAAAGCAAAGATTAGATTCCACTCCTCTCTCCATTGAATATCGAATTCTAAAATTTAGATTTGAATATAAAGATTCTACCAGATCTTTAAACAAAAGGTGACTCATTTGAACTGTATTGTCAAGAAGAGTTCCGGAGAATGTATCCTAGCTCATTGGAAATCCTAGCGCAGGGGGATTAGTGGCCTTCGTGGCGGGACTTGTCCCAGACAGAAAATAAAAAAAAAAAATAAGAAAAGAGAAGTAAGATAAAAGTAAAGTAAGAAAGAAAGAGAAAGGAAGAAAGTGCGCAGAGAGTACCGGAGGAAGCAGCGGCCGCGGACTCCCGGTTTGTGTGTCAGCCAATCACGAGCCCCTCGCAGGACACGCACGCGTGGTCGGCTTGAGGGCAAGGCGAAGCTAAAGTAGGCGGGACTACTTCCCTAACCCAAGATGGCCGAGGAGGCGCTCCTAGAGGGAGGCGCAAAGGCTGAGAATACCATTGGTGGAGCTGCAGCTTCGCAGTGGGAGGGAATGACAGCTCCCCCGTTTCCGGTTCCGGCAGTACCGGGATCAGTCGAGATGGAGGAAGATGCGAACCGAGTGTGGCTGTCGCTGGGAATGGAGGGTAGTGCGGAGGCTGCGGTCTAGGAGTCCGGGGTTGGAGTTCTCAGCCGCGGCTGAACCGCCGGGGTCTGAGAAGGTAAGCGACCACGGTGCTAGGGTGCCTTGAGGGATCGGAGGTACCTGAGTACCGACTTGTCGAGGAGACAGCGGATGTCAGTTCTGCGGGGCTGCATCGCTATGGGAGGCCGCCCTGCAATTTTGGCAACGAAAGGCAAATTCGGCGAGGCATCTCGTCATGGCAGAGGAGCATGAGAGGCTGACAACTAGAAGCATGGCGAGGGGCATGCCCGAGGACCCAGAATTGGCCTTGCAAGAGCCGGACGGAAGGTGCATAAAGGAGGGTGTCACGTGGAGTGTGTGGAGGGCATTGTCATGTGGTGTCTGTGATGAGGGATCACGTGGAAACCTATTGAAGACCAATAAAGACTGGGGGATCTCACCATGCCGGAGAGAGGAGGCTGGCTTGGTTTGAGAGGAGGCGTCGCCAGGACTAGTGAAGAGCAATGAATAGTGAGCGGGACAGGTGTTCCAGCATACAAATACGTTCACTTCATGTGAATAATGGGTGGGTGACAGCTCCCAGAATGCAGAGCCTGATGTGGTGGGGAGAGAGAGAGCAGAAAGAGGAGAGGGTGCTGGCTAGGATTGGCTAGGATTCGTCTCTGTGTGAGAATTGCAGCGCCTGGGTCAGGAGTTGAGGAGCACAAGGTGACCTGATGTGGTGGGGATGGTCGAAGGAAAGACTGAATGGATGAGCTGGTCATCATTATGTTCAGGCCCAAGATGGGGTCAGAGGGCCCCTTACCTGGTCCTAGTGATGTTGGACTCCGAGAATGGTTACAGTTCTTACAAAACTGACAATCTCTAATAATTAATGCCATGCTTCCTACATTTTGACAATCCATATAAACCACCTAGAGATAATCAGCAGGTTTAACAGTATGGCCCAAAGTCCCCTCCCCCCACCAGGACAGGGTCTTGCTGTGTGGCCCAGGCTGACCTTAAACTCCTGTTTCTCTTTCCTCAGCCCCCTTGTGCTGAGGTGACAGAAATGTGCTACCACACCTGGCTCTGCTCCTTATAGGCAGGTCCAGGTCTGCATACATTGCTAATCTGTGGACCACTCTGGGCACTGAGGACTTAGAGCATCGCTGCTCGGTAGAACTTTATGCAGTAAGAGAAATGCTTCACTGTTAACAAAATACTAATAATACCTAATGTTCTAAGGGCTGATGATCTAGCTCAGTTGGTAGAATGCTTGCACAGCATGCAGGAAGCCCTAGGCTTGGTCCCCTAGGAAAAAACTGGGCAAGGGTATGGTGGCTCACATCTGTAATCCCAGCATTTAGGAAGTGGTAAAGGCAAGAAGATCAAGAGTTCAAGGCCAGCTTGGGCCACATGAAATTCAGACAGACAGACAACAAAAACAGCAGCAATAATAAAACCAAGAGAATAGTCTAGTTGAGAGTTTTGTTTATGTGTGGAGCAGAGTGGAAGTGACAGATGGCATAATTGGGGTAGTCTGTTCTCCATATCATTTGATAACTTCAAGCATAAAATGCTCCCTAATCTGGGTGATCTGTTGGGATGCACAGAAAGCACTTAGCAATTCACAATGTTTTGTTTTTAAAGCAGGATTTCTTGTAATCTTGAACTTGTGATATAGCCAAAGATGACTGTAGACTTGTGATCTACCTCCCAAATGCTGGGACTATAGGCATGAGCCAGCACACCTGTTGTTTTAAATGCTGTGCTGGGGATTGGATTTAGGGCTGGGTACATGGGAGGCAGGCACTCTGTCAACCGAGCTACATCCCAGCCCCATGAACAGTTTTAAAGGTGTCAGAAAATCCAGAATTGGAGTCAAGTACTCAAGGGTCTGACAAAGGGCCATAAGGAAGTTGGACTGGCTGAACCAAGACAAAGGCTGAGCATTGTTTCTATTCACCTTTCTGCAAAGAAGACTTTCTAGCAGACGAAACAAGAGAAGCTGAATTATTTCAGCAGGCCCTCTGGGTGTTATAGGACAGTGAACAAACTGAAATCCACTTTTAGGAAGAAACTTTTCTTTTTCCAAGGGTGTAGTACCCTCCCAGCCTTCTAATATGGTGCCTTCTTGATTGAGTCATGACCATTAGAGGCGCCTCCTGTTACCATGTATTGGTAGGAGTTACCTGCCTTTGAGTTACCTGCCTTGGGGAACTCTGGCTTCCTTCAGGGGATGTACGGAAGATGGACACATGTGAGAGATGCAGGTGGGAGGGGAAGTTTAATGGTGCCTCCTGCCTCAGCATTTCTCAGTAGAGATGTCTGTAATGGGTGACTCAGCTTCACAGGTTAAGAAGGTGTCCAGAAAACCAGGTCTTGGAACAGAGTACTCCATTGCTCTGCCCTTCTGCCCTGTCAGTGGGTTTGTGCATGGCCAGCAGGAGGCCCCTGCTTGAGCCCTGCTGTGTTTGTCTTGTGATGACAACATGCCTGCCCAGCCAATATGCTCAGTCACTCCCCAAAAACACTGAGAAAGAGGAGGCAGTCCTAGCTTTCTCTGGAATGAAGCTGAAAGAATGGCAGGTGCAAGGGTATTTGCCTCGCATAGGAGGGCTTAGTTTTAGGTTGAACAGCGAAAGCTGTGCTGACATTTCCAGCTCGCTGGCACCAAAGGCATTGTGGAGTCTTGCCTTCACTGCTGGGCAGTTGCATGACTCTGGACTGGTTACATTGCACCTACACAGACCTCAGTTTGCTCATTTTCCAGTATTCTTGTTGTTTTGTGGTTTGTTAAGTTAGCCCAAATTCAAGCAGGTTCTGGCGCTATAAGTTCTTCAGGGAAACCAGCTCAGTTAGCTCTTTTCTCTCTCAGGGGTTAGCTATGGCCAAAGAGGACTCTGACCTTTGGCCTGCTCCTGACTTTTAGACTCCATTCCCTGGAGAATGGGGCAGTGGGTGGGGATGCCATGTGGCATGAAATCCCTGTCTGCACTTTTCCCTACATTTCCTTTCTAATGTAGACTGGAGAAAATATAAATTATGGTGGGGGCGGGGCAGAGGTAGTCAGAGCAGCCAGCATAGGGAACAGAAGTGAGGTCAGCAGGCAGCAAAGGTTTGTAAGGATGAAAAGACACAGGTGGTTGCTTCTTCAGAGTGCCAGGAGCAGCCTAGCCTCCAGGAAGCTCCTCCATGTCACTTAGGGACATCCCATTAGCCTCATGGGCCTTGAATCATGCTGGCGCCTGGATTGTCCACAGCATTCTAAACATACCCAGGCAAGGAAGACATAGAGCGTGGTCCCTGTTCAGGACTGTGATGGCAAGACCTAGGAAGAGACAAGATTCAGACGGACAGTCCCGCAAGCTGGGTAGGGCTGAAGTAGGGGTGGTCTAGCATGCTCTGGGTTGTAGCGGCGTGTCAGGCTCAAGGCTAGGCTTTGCTGAGGTGAGCACCCCAGAGATGCAGCCTGCGAGGTGGACTCACATCTCCCTGCCTGCCCAAATCCCAGGTCTTCGGGCACTATGGAGGACAAGCGGAACATCCAGATCATCGAGTGGGAGCACCTGGACAAGAAGAAGTTCTATGTGTTTGGTGTGGCAATGACTATGATGATCCGGGTTAGCGTGTACCCATTCACCCTCATCCGCACCCGGCTGCAGGTTCAGAAGGGTAGAAGCCTCTACCATGGGACCTTCGACGCCTTCGTCAAGATCCTTCGAGCAGACGGAGTGGCTGGCCTCTACCGGGGCTTCCTGGTCAACACCTTCACACTCATCTCTGGCCAGTGCTACGTCACCACCTATGAGCTTACCCGGAAGTTTGTAGCTGACTACAGCCAGAGTAACACAGTCAAATCCCTGGTAGCCGGTGGCTCCGCCTCCCTCGTGGCCCAGAGCATCACGGTGCCGATTGATGTTGTCTCCCAGCACCTGATGATGCAGCGCAAGGGTGAGAAAATGGGTCGCTTCCAAGTTCGTGGGAACCTAGAGGGACAAGGGCTGATTGCCTTTGGTCAAACTAAGGATATCATCAGACAGATCCTCCGGGCTGATGGGCTTCGAGGCTTCTACCGAGGCTATGTGGCCTCGCTGCTAACATATATCCCAAACAGTGCTGTGTGGTGGCCCTTTTATCACTTCTATGCAGGTAAGCAGGGACTGGGAAGGGGGCAGGGACACTGTTGTTTCTTTCTGTGTGGAGATGAGTACAGAGAGGGGATCAAACTAGCCCCACTTGAGTGCTGGGATCACAGATGCATGCCCCGCTGAGCCCGCTCAACCCTAGTTTTGCTAGCTCTGTTTCTCCTACTTTGCACAGTATTTCATCTAGACTTTGTGGTAAAATTGGACCCTGTACTGTCACCCTGACCCTCTGAGAGTACATTCTGGCAATCTTTGTGAGACAGGGTCTCCCTGTATAGCATAGACTGGCTTTGAACTCACTGTAGCCAACACAACCTAGAACTAACAGCAATGCTTCTACTCCATGCAAACACTTCTTGGGAAAGCTGAGGGTGAAGCTCAGCGCTTAGCTAGCATGCGTGAGACCTGAGCTTTAATCCGTAGCACTGCAGAAAGGCCAAACTAAATAAAGCTAAAGCAAGCTCCCAGGAGGGCATTTTCTCCAGTTTACCTCTGCCCTCACTTGGTCTCATGAATCCTGAGATTTGTGTTTCCCCTCATGTCCACATTCTGCAGCAATGCCAGCCAAACCTGTCCAGAGGTCTCAGCGACATTCTGACTGTGGCCTCTGCACCCAAAGGTTTCACCTGAAGCACTAGGGGGGCCCAGGCATGGAGCACCCAGCTTACACACAGGCAGCCTCATGGCTGTGGAGCTGCACCACCAGCTCTTTAAAACTTAAATATTAGTTGTGTTTTGTTTTAAAAATAGGATCTTATTCTATAGCCCACGCTAGCCAGAAACACAGTGTGTAGCTCAGGCTGACCTTGAACTCTCAGCAGTTTTCTTCAGGCTCTTAAGCACCAGGATACAAGTGGGGACACCCAGCTTAAGTTTTATTTTGTGTCTTCTGCTGCTGGAATTACAGGTTCCCACCACCACTCTCAGCTTATTTTCTGTTCGTTCTTGTGTTTTTGAGATTGGCACTCAGACTGGCCTTAAACTACTGCTCCCGCTGCCTCTGCCTGCCTGGTGCTGGGGTTACAGCCATGTGCCCACCTTTTTAATTTTTTATTTGAGTCTGGCCCGAGCTTTCTATGCAGTCAAGAGTGACTTCAACTCATGATCCTCTTACCTCTACCATTCATCCAATGCCGAGATGGCAGGCGCATGTCACTGTGCCCAGCTTGTTTTTGTCACTCTCACGGTGCATCCCACACTTAACCCTATGTCCTTGAGGATGACCTTGCTTCTCCTCTGCCTCTCCCACTTCCTCTGCATCTCCCTCTGCCTCTATCTCTCTTTCCCTTTCTCTTTGAGATACAGCCTTGGCTTGCCTGATATGTGGGCCAGGCTGCTTGACGTTGAATTTCTAATCCTCCTTCCTCTGCCTCCTGAGTGCTGGGATTAAAGGCTTGAACCATGTCTGGGTTTATGCAGTGCTAGGGATCAGATCCAGTGTTTGAGCTATGCTAGATAAACTCTACCAACTGAGCCACATCTCTAGCTCCCATTCATACTTTTGATTTTGAGACAGTGTCTCACTGCTACATTGGACTTGAACTTGTCCATGCAGGCCTTGAATTTGTGATCCTTCTGCCTCTGCTGCCAAAGAGCCCGGTTTATAGGTATGTGTTATCATGCCTTGTTCCTAATGGATTAGTCTGTGAAGTTCTAGGTACAGAGCTGGGTAAAAAGCCCAGTGACAGCGCTCTCTGCCTGGAATACCTTTTCCTCTATTCTTTATGTGGCTGACCTCTTTTGCTTCCAGCCTCAGCTTATATGTGACCTTTGTAAAAAGAACCTTGCCCCCCTCCCCACCCCAACAGGGTTTATCTGTATAGCCCTGGCTGTCTAGGAACTCACTATATATAGTACAGGCTGGCCTCGAACTCACAGAGACTTGCCTGCTTCTGCTGGGATTACGGATGTGTGCCGCTGCACCCAGCAAGAGCTTCTTTACCCTTTTGGAAAGAAGGCTGTCTCTGCTTTCTGTTTTAGCTCCTTTATTCTTTCTTAGCACAATTTGCAATTATTTTACCCCCAACTTCTAGCTCCTTAATTGGAATCTTAATATCCATGAAGATAGTTCTCTGTCTCTTTCTCTGTTTATTTTTGAGACAGAATCTCTCTTTGTAGAACCCCTGGCCTGAAACTTTCTATGTAGACCAGGCTGACCTTAAACTTTAAGCGATCCACCTGCCTCAGTTTCCTGAGTGCTGGGATTGAAGGTGTCGACCACCATGCCTGGCTCTTTTCTCTGGACAAGTCTAACGTTTATCATAATGCCTGGCATGTAGAAAATATTAATAAATATTCATGTTACTGGTGTCCACAGTCACTAAGCTAGAAGATAGTCTGGGTCAGTCTGGGTTCATCTTCTGCCTGTAGATTTAGGTGCTCAGTAACCATCTGTTGAAAGAACAGTGAAGAGGGAAGAAGACATGGGCTCTTTGTCCTACCCTCTCACCTTTCTTCATTCCCACTCTGAGCTCCAGGAAAGTGGTATGTGTACAGATGTAGAGTTGGACTCTGGGTCCTGTGCAGCTTGCAGGCCCGGGGCCAGTGCAGCCAGGCCCAAGAGGCAGGCAGTGCCGATCCCAGGGCTGCAGTCTGATTGCAAACATGCCGCCTTCAGGAGAAGAAGGGCACCCACGAGGCAAACGGCAGCTCACCCTGTTTCAGCTGACATTCTTGACTCCAGGGAGGAGCATAATTAGAAACTGAGGGAAAGGTAGTTCTGCCCCGGGTACTGAATTCTGCCATGGAACTGGGCATTTGAAGGTGTGACTTCTGCCTTGCCAACCCCATCTTCTAAATCTCTAGTTTTTTCTTCCCTGGTCACAAACTACCAAAACTAAGCGCATTCCTAAGGACTAAGAGAATTCCTAAGGACTGTAGAAGAGAAAACTGAGAGGTCTTGGAGATTTTGAGTCAATGTGACCTCCTATCTTGGCCTAAATTTGCGTAGTATCCTCAAGGTCCTTGGCTACTCCCCTCAAATCTCACTTACTGCTCCTTCTGCTTGTTCTGTTCTAAGTCACTGGTCTTGCTGCCAGCGACATGCCAGTGACCGAGGCATGCTGCTGCCTCAATTCTTTCGATAGATGTTATCCTGTGCTTGGAAAGCGCTTTGCCCAGGCATGTGCAGCTTATGTTCTCAGCATCAGGTCATTTCTGAATTTCACTTTCTTGGGAAGTGCCATGACTGCTTTGTTTAAGCTCACAACTTGCTTCACCCCTACCCTGTTTAGCTTTAGTATGAACCTTCTGACATGGCTATGTGTTTTACTTCTTATTGCCCCTTCTCTTCTACTAGAATGTCCGCACTTCCTGAGGACAGGAACGTGAGGCACTTTTTTGAAATTCACCGTACATGCCTCAGGACCCAGGGCAGCTAGCTCATAGTACTCACTGAGTCTTTGTTGACTAAATGAATGAACTCTTGTTTTGTACCTCAAAAGAGAGTAAAACAGAGAATTTATTTACAGGCACACTTCCCAGTGGCACTGTGAGAAAATAGGCCTTGGTGCCTAGCATTCCATAGTCATTCGCATTTTGAAATCCAGGATTCTCTTCTCTTGTGCTAGTGATTGAGCCTAGAGACTCACACAGGCTAAGGAAGTGCTATCACTGAGCTATACCCTAGCCCTTTTATATTTGACTTTTTGTGGTTGTTTTGTGAGACATGGTTGGCCTTATAAAAATTACAAGCATGCACCACTGTGTCTGGCTTTTTCTCTTTTCTAACATTTAACAGAATGCCATGTATTTCTTGAAGTCACTGTGTAGCTGATGCTGACCTTGAACTTCTGCTCCTCCTGTGTCTACTTCCAGAGTGCTGGAATTACAGATGTGTACCACCATGCCTGGTTTTATGTGCTGGGTATCAAATCCAAAGCTCCATGCATGCTAGGCTCCATGCATGCTAGGCTCCATGCATGCTAGGTGAGCACTCAGCTAACTGAAACCCTTTTTATTTTTAGGTTTTGAGACAGGGTTTCTCTGTGTAGCCTTAGCTGTCCTGGACTCACTTTGTAGACCAGGCTGGCCTCAAACTCACAGATATCCCCCTGCCTTTGCCTCCCTGGGTTCTGGGATTACAGGCGTGTGCACCGTGCCTAAATCCTTTTTATTTTCTTGAGACTGAGTCTCATGTAGTCTAAACTGGCCTGGAACTCATTATGTAGCTGACCTTAGACCCCAGATCCTCCTACCTTCTTCATCTTTCCAATGCATCACTATGCATAACTGCATTTTTTGTTTGTTTGTTTATTTCATTTTTCGAGATAGGATTTCTCTGTGTAGCCCTAGCTGTCTCAAAACTGGCCTTGAACTCAGGGATCTGCCTGTCTCTTGGGATTAGAGACATGTTCCACCGTGCCTACCCATTTTTCTTTATTGGTATAAGCTGGTCTTCACTATAGGATAAGACTGCCTACTTTAATATTAATTGCTTTTACTTATAAAAATATTTAAATACTCTAAAGGTCCAAATGAATTTTAAAGGGCTAGGAATGTGGCTGAATTGGTAGGTGCTTCCCTGCATGAATGAAGCCCTGCGAGCCATCTCTAGTGTGTGGTCCAGCTGTGGTGCCACATGTCTGTAATCCCAGAACTTGGAGATAGTGCAGGAGGATCAGGGGTCATCCTCTGCCACATACTAAGTTCAAGGCCAGCATGGCTACATGACACTCTGTCTTCCCCCAGCCCCCTAAAGGTAAGAACTGTGAAAAGAAAAGGTGTGTAGTATACAGTGAGCAGCCATCTTACTCACGGCCCTCATGCAGTCCCTTCCATAGAGACCATTGTGTATGGTGTCAATTTTTTTTTAGGTATTTATTTATTTATTATAATTTATTCACTTTGTATCCTGGCTTTTTTTTTTTTTTTTTAATAATTTGAGACAGGGTCTCCCACTGAAGCTCGAGCTGACCTGGAATTTACTCTGTAGCCCACCAGGTAACACACTCATAGCAATCATGCCTCAGTCTCCAGGGTGGAGATTACAGGTTACAGGTGCCCTGGCTAATCATGTGGTTTTAAATGTATCCTACAAGAATGCCACATAGGAAACATGCAGTATGTGCCATTGTTTTTATATCAGAAATGGTTTTCTGTCCATCAGCTTAAAGGATGCAGCAGGTAAAGAGGTTTTTAAATCCCTTCCTAAGGCTTGTCTTTTTTAAACAAACGATATGACCAGAATGACTTCAGGGAAAGCTCTAGAGATAAATAATATGAATCTTTAGTAAATGCAGGTAGAAGCAGAGAATTGGAAGGTATAAGTATAAAGGTCAAAGATGGCAAAGGGCAGAGGGCTTGGTGTGGTTGGAAAGGCATCATGAGGGTTAGATGGGTGGTACCTCGTATCTTGAGGTGGTGTCTTTCCCTGGATTCCAGAGCAGCTGTCGTACCTGTGTCCTCAGGAGTGCCCTCACATTGTCTTTCAAGCCGTCTCTGGGCCCCTGGCTGCAGCCACTGCCTCCATCCTCACCAATCCCATGGATGTCATCAGAACCCGAGTGCAGGTAATACTGGCCTCCCTCCCAGTCCCCTCCCTACCTTTGACTCAGAGATGACACTAGAAGCCAGACCTGTAGGCCTGTAGTGTCCTTGTGACCTCAGTACATGACGTGGTATTTAGTCAGCCTTGTGATTGGCCAAGTTCCTTGCTGTGCTTATCTCTGCAGATATCAGCTGAGCGCTTGGAAGTATCTACATTGTTTTTTCTTCCTCTGTCTGCACCTTGCATATCTACCCATTGCCTACACAGGAACTCTTACTGCTCTCTTCTAGCCTTCAGCTGGAATCTGTCCCGTATTCTGTTAGCCTTAAGCCATCTTCCTTCCTCACCCTCCAGGCTTGTGGGGTGGTTAGAATGATTTATTTCCTATTAGTTTCAGAAGTCGCTGATTTTTTTTCCACTAGGCCATAAATCCACACTGAATGAAAGACTGAAATCAGAGAGGTGGTCTCTAAAAATGTGATCTGGGAATAGAGAGGAACAAGAGGACAGCGAAGAAAAATGGGAAAAGGGAGACAAAAATGTTCTTTTCCCCTTCAAAATCATTACATTTATTTATTGTGTGTGTGTGAGTGGGCATGATTGACATGGTCTGAGCAGAAACTAGAAGAAAACTTGTGCGTAGGTGAGTTTCTTTCCTTGTACTCTCCGGGCTTTGACAAACTCAGGTTGTCAGGCTTGGCAGCGGGAGCTTTTATTTGCTGAGCCATCTTGCTGGTCCTTTTTTTCCCCCCTTAAAGACACCTTCTCAGGTATCCCAGGCTGGATTTGAGCTCCATAATGATGGCCTTGAGCTCCTGACCCTCTTGTCCCTCTAGAGTAATGGGGTTAGAGGCATGCACTTTTACACCTGATTTTAGAGGTGCTGGACTTCCAATCAAGTTTATTTTTGAGACTGGGTGTCTAGTCCAGTCTGGCCTCAAAGCTGCTGCTGTACCTGATGCTTAACTTCCTGAACTTCCAGAGTGCTGGGGTAACAGGAAGGTACCTGGTGTTTGGTCTTTTGTTGTTTTTGAGACCAGATGTCCTAGTTGAGGAAGGCTGGCCTCAAGATGCCCTGTGTAGCTGAGGATGACCTTGAATTCTTGATTTTCCTGCTTCCACCCTCCAGCTACTGTGATAACAGTGCATGCCACCATGCCAGCTGAGAAACCTAAGTGTGTGTGTGCGCGTGTGCGTGCGTGTGTGTGTGCGCGTGCGCGCGCACCTGTGGAAGTCAGGGGTTAACTTGCAGTAGTTTTTAAATAGGTTTCACAGGTTATGCTGGGTAGACTCATCCACAACACTGACAGCTCTTGGTGTTGCTCAGAAACTGTAGTCCCTGTCTACAGTCAGCTTTGAGGATAGTTAGCTAGCACCGAGGAATGGGATCTGAATGTGGTACATGGTGTGCAGAGGGCATGTTTTGCTGTATCAAGTCTTAGGTGTGCAGCAAGGGGGACTTTTAATGTGTAAAGTTAATAGGGTAACCCAGGAAGAAAGGTGGAGAATCAAGAAAGATATAAGGGAGAAGGGTCCTTGGGGTCTGGTGAGGACAGGAAGGAAGAAAAGGAACCTTAACAGGTTGAAGTAAAGTCGGGTTTGTGCCACTGGAGATTCCAATGAGAGGAGCAACAGATACAGGCATTTTCCTCCCTAGGAAAGAGTGCTTCTTCCAACATTTGAAATAAATACTCTGGCATCTCACTGGGATGCGGTTGGACCTGCAATGTCTTTATTGTGGAGAACCAGGGTAGGCCCCATTCTTTCCTTACCCTTGCCTGGGTGTCTTAGGAGGCAGGCCTAGGGAAGTGACAGATCTCTGCTTTGAGGAGCTTGTAGGCCAGAGGCTAAGGCTAAACTGAAAATGCCCTTGACATGGCTAAAGGAGCTTGTGGAAGCAGAGGAGTCAGAAGATGTTAGAGGGAAGAAGAGCTGAAGAGGATGTGCTGAAGAAAACAGGGTAGAGTAGGGAGCTATGGAAGGTGGAGCCGGCATCACCTGGTGGAGGCTGCACCAGATAGGAGGATGTGAATAAGAAGTCCTTTGCCTTACATTGGTAGAGGTGCTTTGATGTGGGCTCTGTATTTGTGATTTGGGAGTAGGGGGAAGGAGACAGGACTGTTGAGAAAAAAGGACTACTGGGTGTGTGACCAGCAAGGACAGAGGAGAGGCTTCTAGCCCTGAAGCCTTAGAGGGACTGAGATAATCAGAGCCCAGACCCTGGATGAGCAGAGCTGCTTGAGGGCCTCTTCGGGAATTGACTATAGCCTTCCTGAGACAGAGAAAAGCACCTAGTCCAAAACCTCCCAGCTGGCTAGCTTGCCTGAGGGTGGTGAGAGCTGATGCACAATGATCACCATCTTGCTAGGCAGTGCTGTTGGCAGTCTGTGGCAGGGTTTCATCTGGTAACTCCGACTGGCCTGGAACCAGCTACATAGAGCAGGCTGGCCTTCTCAGTGTTGGGATTAAAGATGTGTGCCACCACGCCCAGGTCTATTGTTGGCATTGATTAAATATTATTTTCTTCTTGCCTGTAACAACCTTGTGGCATAGGGACTCTTATTACCATTTTTTATTTGAGAAAACTGGGGTAGGAAGAGTTAAGTAAACTCAGGTAGTCTGTCACCAGAGCTTGGAGGAAGTCACTATGCTATCTCCAGAAGCGGAGTGTAGCTCTGGCATCCCCACTTGAGCCTGCAGCACTATAAGGGTAAGCAGATAGTTGTGACTGAAGACAGTTGGTGCCCCTTCACTGTGGTGACTTTTCCAGGTTGAAGGCAAGAGCTCCATCATCCTGACCTTCAGACAGCTGATGGCAGAAGAGGGGCCTTGGGGCCTAATGAAGGGCCTCTCAGCCCGAATCATCTCAGCCACACCCTCCACTATCGTCATCGTGGTGGGCTACGAGAGCCTCAAGAAACTCAGCCTCCGACCTGAGCTGGTGGACTCAAGACACTGGTAGCGAGCAGTGGACAGAGAGAGAGGCTGTGGTTTCACATATTACTCTAGGCCAGGGCAGAGCAGGGAAGATAGTTACCTTTGTGAATGCCACCTCCACACACCCATCCTGCTCCAGGCCAGATGGCCTATCAGGGACAAGAGAAGAGACTTTGGACTGCCCTTGATGCAGAGGTTCTGTGCCTGGCTTCCCTGTTCCCTGTAATTTTATTTCTCCTGCAGATCTGGGCCCCTCACTCAGTGCTTGTACTCAGTTATGGCCTGAGGATCACCCTCCACAGGATTCTGTTGGCCCCTCATTAGTGCCCCTTTCCCTCTGTCCATCCCTCAGGCCTGGAAAAGAGCTGCTCATAGATTGCCTACCCCCTTGCTTGTTGCTCTTGAGTCTTTAGGCCAAGGCTCTAAGTAGCTGCCTGTGATTTATTTTTATGCTTGCTTATTTTAAATTTGGGACTGAGTTGCTCATTGGACAGCTCTGCCTTGCCCTGCCTTTGGGGATAAATTGGAGCAGCAAACACTCTGCAGAGTGTTCATTTTCTCTGGGAGTTACTAGGAGGGAGGAATCCTAAGGCTTTACCTGTGTGTGTGGTTGAACATCTGTGAATCAGGCAACTAGCCCTGATAGCATTAGTCCTGCTGTCAGAACCCACTCCTTGGAGAAGTGGAAAACTGTGACATCGATCCCAATTCTTTATCCCCTCCCTGTCCCTTCAGGCCTGGGAACCTGCAAACAGAATGGACTGCTGGGCTTCACTGGCCCAGGTAACTACAGTCGAGGGCACAGTTCTAAGTGGATCAGGCTTACCGGAGTACAGTGGGCTTCGAAAGTAATGAGAGGATGTGTGTTCCTCACTGTCATCTCCTCAGGCCAGCTGAGCCACACCCAGGAGGTTCTGAGCCCCAGGAAGCAATGCCGCACACATACCTGCCACTCAGAGGAATAGTAACAGCTGGACTCTGGAATATGAACTGCCTTTGTTTTTCCTGTCCTTGGTTGTGAAGTGTCATCCCAGTCATGGTACCCTGTGCTGGCAGCAGAAAAAAGGAGTCAGGAAGGCACCTAAGGCCAGGGCCACCTGGTCACCAGCCTCATACTGCCAAAATCGTTGATGCTCCCTTCAGGAGCTTCCTTCTTTCCTGCCTCCACTAAGCCTGTGATGGAGGCAGAGAGGCACAGCTCATGGAATGGGAAGAAGGCAGTCAAATCTTGCCTTCCTACTTAAGATGTCTGGCCTGGGTGATGCTTTCAACCTTTTTTAGTGGTCCCATGCTTTGGGAAAATGCCATGGTGCCAATTTGGAAGGTGCTAGCTAACTGAAGCCTTCATGCTTCTCACAGCTGCTCCACATTCTTCCATCCTGACTAGACCCTGTCCCTATACTTACCTCTCTCACTGCTCATTGTAGTCTGTACTTGTTTCCTTTTGAGCCCTTTTATTTGTCTCAGCATTTTGGCTGTTTTTGAGACAGGGTCTCAAACATATCCCAGGCTGGGTTTGAATTCCGTATGTAGCAGAGGATGACCTTGAACTCTTGATCCTCTCCCACCTCCTGAGTTCTGGGTTTACAGGCCTCACTTCCTGCACTTTATTGAGAGAGCCCTTCAATTTTGTCCATAGTCACCTGAGGGGTGGAGCCCACAGAACATTTTAAACCTTTTTGCGCCTCACCTCTACCTTAAGAACTATCAATACAACGGAAGCAAGGGCCCCTCAAGCTTTTCTTCTCAAGACAAGACCCTTGTGATTGGTTTTCGTGACCCTGTACTTGTCTCTTCCATCTTTGGTCTTTCCTTACTGGGCAGAGTGTGGACACCACAGGAGGTTCCTGCCTTTCATACCTTAGGCTATTTCTTCCTCCAGACTTCATTTTCTTGTACTGTGTACTTGTGTCTCCCTCTCCTGTCCTTTCTCCTCCCTTTCCTTCTTGTTTGAATGAACAACGCCTGCCTGCCCTGACCCCCTAGCCAAGGTCATTTGCCTTGGTGAGGATGGGCCAGAGGGCGCCCGATTTTCCAAAACTGGAGACCAAAACGGCTAGGAAATTTCACCTGTTGATCGTGATCTAAATTAGAAACTCTGGAACCTGGGAAGAAAATGCACATTCATCATTTGATAAAAATGGACTCTTGAGGATCGTAGCGGCGAATATTCACTGTTGCACTGTATGAAATCTTTGAAATGTAATTAAAAGTTTTTATTGAGTCCCTAAACTTCGGCTGGCGAATGTTTTTCCCCACGAGCTGCAAACTAACCACGTCCTCCGGCAACTGCCCCACCCCTTCCGGCTCGGTGACGGATTTCCTTTGCCTCCAATCGGAGGTTCTGATGGGAGGGGCTGCAGGGCCTGTTCATTTTGGCGGTTAAGTTTCAACATGGCTGAGGTAAGTCGTGATAATGAAACTGTGAAAAAGGGGCCTGAGGCTTCATCTCCGGAATCTGTGCCAGTTGACGCGACCGTCTCCAGGGTGAAGCTCCTCGACACCATAGTGGACACTTTTCTCCAGAAACTAGTCGCGGCCAGGAGGTAGGTGAAGGCAGCGAGAGCGAGAAGTGGCGGGAGGGGTTGTCGCCCGGCGCGGCTGCAAATCCCGCGGGATCGGTCGGGTCGGCTCGGTCACTTGCCAAGTGCGGTTGAGCTCGGCGGCTTCGCAGAAGCTTTTCCGTGGGTCGTCCCTTGGCTAGGCTGCAGGGGATGAGGGGAATAGCAGAGTGGCGAGAACCCGCCTGGGAGCTGCTAGGCAGCCGTGGGGCAGCCTCTCCTGAAGGGGCGCCGGGCGCCTGTGTGTGCACACAGCGCTGTGGTGGAAAGATACTGCCAGGGCTAACCCTACGGTCCTGAGGAGAAACTTCTGCTCTTCCGAGCACAGACGTACCTAATGCCCACAGAGGTCAGAGGTATCAGATTCCCCTGGAACTGGAGTTATGGATGGTTGTAAAACACCCATCTGGATCCTCTGCAAAATCAACAAGTGCCCCTAACTGCCGAGCCAGCCCTGAACCTCACCTGTAACGACAGCCACCCTGGAGGCTGAGGGAGCCTGGATAACAGTGAGACACCAAAACCAAAAAGAGACCGTCCCTTTTTGCAGCCTGGCCATCTTGGCGTCCAGTCCGTGTGTGTCTGTTGCAGAACCGAGGATTGAACCTACAGCCTCTGTGTGCTAGGCAACTGCTCCGCCACTGCGCTGCATCGCCAGCCCTTTTTAAAGCTTTTTTGTCTCGAGGGGGATGGAGGGATGGACAGGTTAAGAGTACACACTGCACTTGCGGAGGACTGCAGTTAGAGACCCCGTGCCCAAGTCAGGGAGCTTACGTCTACCTGTGACCCCTCGATCTGGGAGCGATTTCCAACTGTTGGGAGACCTGCTTTTCCTCACACATGCACACATACTCCCCCCTCCCCGCTGATAGAATTTAAAAGATAAATTTTGGGCTTGCAGAAATGGCCCCGGTGGTTAAGAGTACTCTATGCTCTTCCAGAGGACCCCGATTCAGTTCCTAGGACTTAGGTTTCACAGCTTACATAGATCTTAAAAAACCACTTGTTTGACCTTTTTGAGGCAGGGTCTCAATGAGTGGTCCATAAGGCTTGACTTGGACTGATGGTCCTCTCTCAGCCTGTCAAGGGGCTGTGGGATTATGGGTGCACAGCATGACACCCGCAGTGCTTGCTTCTCGTGGACCTTGTGGCTCTTGGCCTCCCTCCTAACAAACATCTTCCTGCCTTCCCAGTATTTGGTGCTACAGATACGATAGATAAAGCATCCAAGTTACTATTGAGTGAGTAGCATACAATAAACAAGATAACCACAGGACTTGATAGCATAATGAACACAGGTAAGAAAACAAATTAAAAGCCACAGTTAATAGACTGGTGATGTACAAAGAACTAAGTAAGATGGCTAGAGGGATCTACTCTGAGGAAGTGATAACCGAGCTGAAGTTTGAAAAATGGGAAGGAACTGGCTTTTGGAAAAAAAAAAAAAAGTTTAAATATACAGGCTCTGGGATGATCCGGTCTTTGTGGTAGACCTATCCTTGGCTACAGTATAGTGATCAAAGGGAGAGTAAATCCAGGATAGGCTGACTTTCTCAATTAGAGCCCAGTTCTGCATGAAGAAGTTTTTAAAAAGGATTTTCTTTTCCCCCAGAGGTATGAGTGGTTTACCTGTATGTGTGTGTGCACCACATGTGTTCCTGATGCTATCAGAAGCCAGAGAGGGTTTCAAGGTCTCATGGAACTGGAGGTACAGATTGTGAGCCGCCATGTTGGTTCTGGGAACCAAACCTGGGTCCTCTCTGCAAGAGCAACCAGTGTTCCTTTCTTGAGACAGAGTTTCTCTGTGTAGCCTTGGCTATTCTGGTCTACTTTGCAGACCAGGCTGTCCTTGAACTCACAGAGATCTGCCTGCCCCTGCCTCCCTGAGTGGTGGTGTTGTCAGCTGTTTGTCACTGTGCCTGGCTTGCAGCCAGTGTTCTTCATGGCTGAGCCATCTTTCCAGCCCCAGTCTCTATGGCAGTTTGATAAAATAATTTGTAAATATTTTTTGTGCAAGTCATCACACACTCTCACTCTTTCCAACTAGTATCGTAGCTCCCCTCCCCTTTAGTTTTCCAAACTTTGGTCTTCTCAAAGCCTCTCTGTTGGCTGTAGGTCTTCACGGTATTTATAATAGAAATAATCATTGGTTAGTGATGGTACCTAGACTGTTAGAGTTGTTGGAGATACAGCAGTTGCGGAGACCCACAAGGCCCCTGCCCTGGTGGAGTAGACTTGGTATTAATATAAAGAAAAACTCCAGGCCTGGCATGGTGGCATGTACTTGTAATCCCAGCATTTGGGGACTGGAGGCAGGAGTGAAGAGTGTGATCTAGTTGGTACTAGGAACCACAAGGCTTGCCCATGGAGCAAGGTGTCTTTGACCCCACAGCAGAGTGCTCTTGTTGCATCACGGGTGTTCCTGTTATAGAACAAGGAGAACTGGCGAGAGGAAGTACCAGTCTGTTGGCAGATGCATTGTGGATGCCAATCTGAGTGTCCTCAACTTGGCTATTGTAAAAATAAAAGAGATTTCTGGACTCACAGATACTACTGTGTCTTAGCAGCTGGGCTCTACAGGAGCAGGCAGAATTTGAAAGCTTTTCAATCTCTGAAGAAGGTGATGTCTACCACTGTGTTGTCAGAAAGCCCCTAACCAAGGTCAGAAAGCCCAGCACCGGAGCACTCAAGACTCAGCGTCCTGTCATTCCACATGGCCTGGAGTTGTATTAGCTTTCTGTTTCTCATAAATACCTGGGCTTATTGTTACTCACCGTTTAAAGGTTTTAGTCCACAGTTGCTTTGGCTTCAAGCACAAAAGCAGGTCACCTCTTAGCTAGCAGAAAGAAGAGGAGCCAGAGTCCAAGATCCCTTCAGCCATCCAGCCCCAGTGCACTAACTTCCTTGTTAGGCTTCCACCCTAGAGGGTCCAACACCTTCAAGTAGCAAAGACCGGGCCAAACTTTCAGTACATGGACATTTAGGAGTCATTTGCTGTTTAAACTATGACGGTCCATCTCCCTCACAAACGATGTGAAGTTCTCATATGGCACATATGGTCTGGCTTATGGTGTTCACAGCATCAACCAGCACATTTGCATACTCAATAAGTAGTTCCGGAATAAACAAGCCCCAGGTCATTGCCTGAATGTCAGACCTGTATCCAACAACTTATTACTAGAATTGTATCCCACAGAACAGTCAACTTATACGTGAATTAATTAACTTATACGTGAATTACGTGGTAAGCAACTTCATGTAAAATGCTTAGAACAGGGCCATGTACCAGTCAGATTTCTGAGTGTTTCCATGATTACTGTATCTTTGTACAAATCTGTACACAGTTTACTGCCCTTGAGTCACACTACCTGGCCTTGGTACTACTGTTGTGTTCATGGAGCCCTCTCTCAGTCTGCCAGCCCCCTCCTCAATATCCCAAGCTTGTTTCCCTGAAGGCTGCTCTGTACTTCTCCTGTGTGTGTATGTGTACGTGAAGGTCGGGATAACTTTAGGGGTCAGTCCTCTCTACCATGTGAGTCCGAGGGCTCAAACTCCGGTCATCAGGCTTGGCAGCAATTACCTTTATCCATTCAGCCATTTTGCAACATGATCAATTACTACCTGGAGTTTGACTCTTAGACTAGTCTGGCCGACCATCACTTCCCAAGAATCCACCCACCTCTACCTTCTGAGCCTGGGACTTACATGAGTGCTTGGTACCAAGCTCAGTCCTTACGTCTACATGGCCAATGCTGTACTGGCTGAACCGTCTCCCCAACTTACACCCTCACCCTCAGCTGGAGTTCAGCTTTGGGTTTGTGTCAGCAAGGTTGGCCTGCTGTGGTGTCCTGGTGTTAGAGCGCAGTAAGTTATCTTTGAGACAGGGTCTTGTGTAGCTCAGGCTGCCCTTGAACTTCTGATCTTACATAAACACACACACACACACACATGCTTCCTGTCCCGAATGCTGAGATTATTATAGTCTACTAGGTGTGTGCCACCATACCTGGTTTTATTCAGTCATAAGGATTGAACCATGACTTGGTGCATTCAAGGCAACTGCTCTACAGCTTCAGCTGGAGACTCCTAGGGATCAGGGCAGCTGTAACTGCACTTGGCACTGGACAGCCTGAGTATGTTGTATTCCAGCTTGATCTCTTGGTTTTCTGGAAGTTGTGTGTGTGTGTGTTGTTTTTTGTTGTTGTTGTCTTGTTTTTTCAGATCCCTGCTATTCTCCCAGTTACTTCTGTCCCCTGGCGAGCAGACTGTGCAACTGTTGAGTCAGGAAGCACAGTGTACATGGTAGCTAGCATAAGGCAAGCTTGGCTTCCTGTGCTTTTTGGATTTGGTTTTTTGAGACTACGTCTTATTTGGCTCATGTTGGCCTAGAATTTGCTATGGCTCTTCTGCCTCTACATCCTGCTAGGTGACTATGGGTGTGCACAACCACACACAGCTTCTAGGCTGCTGCTGCTTCTCTCCCTTCTCCTTTTATGTGTGTATATATATTTATGTATGTATTTTATGTGTATGAGTGCTCTGTCTGCATGTACACCCGCATGCCAGAAGAGGGCATTAGAGCCACCATGTGGGTGCTGGGAATTGAACTCAAGACCTCTGAAAGAGCAGCCAGTGCTCTTAACCCTTGAGCCACCTCTCCGTTCTGGGCTTGTTTTTGCTTCCTTGGCACTGTATACACTGTGACATGGTTCAAGATTGTTCTGTGTGTCATGTGTGGGCCACTTTTACCTTTCCTTGATATATGTATAAGACAGTAGGTTGTAGCTGGGCATCTACATAGAGAATTTGAGGGCAGGTCAGGGTCACATAGAGAGACCTTGTCTCAACAGAGAAAGAGAGAGAGAAACCAGGTTGACAAATGACTAGCTTTCTTCGCTTTCTACAGTGAGTTCATGCTATGAAGTCCAGATCCCTCCCACTCCTTTACATCCCACGAGCATATATGAATGCCCATTTTTAATACATGGTCTCTTTCTATCACCGGGGATGGCCTGGAAGATGATCCTTCTGCCTCTTTAAAGTGCTGGAATTACAGGCACCAGCCAGCCTGCCCAGCTCGTTAAGACCGGGTGAGCCTTAAATTTGCAGAGATCCACCTGCTTCTGCCTCTCCTAATTGTTAGGAGTAAAGATGTGTACCACCAGCTTTTTCTTTTTTAGGTGTGTATTATTATGCCTTTTTCTCTCTCGCTCGTTCAAAGGGGTGACATCTACCCCAGACTGGCCTCAAGCTCCTTATGTGGCTGAGGATAACCTGGAACCTCTGATCCTCCAGCTCCTAACTCCTGATTGCTGGGATTACATGCCTGTACCAGCACAGCAGGATCTTGTAGTTCTGGGTATTGAACCTGGCTTTATGCATGCCACGCGATCACTCTACCAACTGAAGTAACAGGCCTGGTAAGCAAAGTCCCATAGCATCACCTGCAGTTCCAGCTCCTCGGGCTGAGCCAGAGGATCACAGGGAGCCCAGAAGCTTGAGACCAGAAAGGCTACAAAGACTTTGTATAGAAAACAAACCAACTAGAGCTGGAGAAATGGCTTGTTGCTCTTGCAAAGGACCCAAGCCTGGTTCCCAGCACCACATGGCAGCTCACAACCATCTGAAACTCCAGGTCCAGGGGATCCAATGTCCTCTTTTGGCCTCTTTGTGTAGGAGGCATGGACATAATGCACACACATACATGTTGGGCTCTACTAATAGCAAATTAGTTTCATTTCAGCACATACATGCAGGCAAAACACACATACTAAAATGAAAATAATAAAATCTCAGAAAAAGAGGCGGGGGGTGATAGCAGCACATGCACATCGCATGTGCGCACACAAAGACTGCCCAGTACATTCTCCGTGGCTTCCTGGGCTGGGCTAGGAGCTCTCACCTCCCTTCCCTACCCCACTCCCCCCAACTGTTTTCCTTTTAGTCCTTCTTTGTAGAGCAGGCTGCCCTTGAACTCACAGAAATCAACTACCTTTGCCTCCCTGAGTGCTGGGATTACAGTCATACACCGCCATGCCCTTATTTATTTACTTACTTATTTACTTTCAGTGCAGGGCAGTGAAGCCAGGGCCTCTAGCATGTTAAGCACACTCTACTACTGAGCTACATCCAAAGTCTTTTCTTTGTTTCTTCTCAGACATTTTCCTTCAAGGTGTATTTCTTCTCTGGATGTTCGCTGGAAATTGGTAGCCCACTAGGCACTGCAGCTCCCAATAGGGAGGGAAGATGGCAGCAAACACAGATGCTCACGTGACTGTGCCAGTGAGCACTGTGACAGACTCCCCCCATCTAAGCGTAAACATTTTGTCTTCGTATACTTGGGTGGCTACACACAGATATCAAAAGGACAATTCAAAGGACAGATGCTGGGAGCCCTTCCCGTCCACAACCCACAGCAGAGTACCAGGCATCTTGCTTTGTTCTTGCTCCAACCACCACTCAGTCTGTGGCCATGAAGAGGAATGTGGAGGGATACATGATGCCTGCCCAAGTGGGCTGGAGTTGAAATGGGGATAACTGTGGCTTAAACATCAGAGATCCTGTTATCTTCACAGCCCACTCAGGCATCCGGTTCAAGCCAGGAACATCTTGTCTCAGCTCCAGGAATGGACAGGACCCAGGGTGAAGCCGATTCTGCCCACAAGTGTCCCTTGAGAGCCCTTCTGGGGTTCCCGTTGCTGAGAATCCTATAAATGTGAAGGACCCCAGAAACAAAATATGCACATTTCACAAGAAGAGACACTTCCTACAGAGTCCCAGGTAGCCTAATAGGCAGAAAGGTAGTCAGGCCAGGCACCAGCACTCACAGAACAGGAAGATACTGAAATACTGTTTTGTAGTGTGTGTGTGTGTGCGCGCGCACGCGCGCGTGGGTGGGTGCGTGCCTGTTTATGTGTGCATATGTGCATGTGGAGGCCAGAGGTTGATGTTGGCTATGTCAGTCAGCCAGTGCCAGTGTGGGAATGGCTTGAATGCTTTGTGGATTTCTTGAGAGCTATACTTAGGAAAGGAAAATGATGCTTTAGAAAACTCCCATAGCCATATGTTGGCCAAATGTAAAATTATGCTTTCTTCTAAAGGCTGTAATATCCCTGTGGAAAGGGATGCCGGAACCTAGATACCCCACAGCAGTGTTAGGGACAAAGCAGCATGAAATCTAAGCAAAGCAGGCAGCTAGGATGGAGGTGGGTTCCAGGCTGTAGGCCTGTTCCACTCTAGCTGCCTCTCCCACCGAGGGCCTCAGGTTGGGTGACGGAGCCTTTCCACTAGAGCCTCCCATGGCCCCTCTGTCTGTGCTTCGTTTCTCCTCATGACAGGGCAGGCTCTGGCCTTGCCCTCATAGGAGGCCAGCCAGCTCTGCACTGGGAAAGCATGCCAACTCTTAAGGACACTCTGCTTGGGTTCAAGGCCTGCCTTCACGGATCATTGTTAGCTTTGTTGCTACCATAAGCCTTGGTTTCCTCCTTTCTCAAGCATTTAACAGCATCAGTACTGCCTAAATTGCTCTAAGGATTAAATGCCACTACATCTCTGAAGTACAAGTGCCTGCCTCACACATAGAAACCTCCCCAAAATAGCCCCCACTGCTGCAGGGACCTAGAAGAGTCAGCCAGCTGGCTTCTCAGGGCTTAGAATCTTCTTCCCTTTGGAAGGAAGGGGCTTCAGTTGCAACTCCGTGGAAAGAAACAATCTAGCAGCGGGAACTAGCCATTAGGATTTGTTCCTATGACAAAGTACTGAATGAGATAAGCCAGATCAAGAAACATAGATGTTGTATATATGTTCTCCCTCATATGTGGGCGGGGGGAAACAGCCTAAGCTACCAAAGACCCTGTTGAAATCAGTAAACAATAAAACTTCTAATAAAAGCAGATCATTGTGGTTTTGAGTGATATCTTGGTTACTTTCCTGTCGCTGTGACAAAGCAACTGATAAAAGAAAGAATTTAATTTGGGGCTCATGGTTCCAGAGGGTGAGAGTCCATGGCCATCATGGCAGGAAGGTGTGGCAGTTGTTAGCATGTTGCTATAGCTGTGGCTGAAAGCCTACACTCTAATCCGCAAACAGGAAGCAGGAGAGAGAACCTGGGAATGAGAGAACCTTTTAAAACCTCAAGCCCACCCCCAGTGACCTCCTGCAACAAGACCTCCTAATCCTCTCAAACAGCTGCACCAGCTAGGGACCAAGTATCCAAACATAGGAGTTTGGTCATTCTCATTCATGGTGGAACTGTTAAGGATTGGAAGGTGAGGCTTTGTTGGAGGAGGTGTGTCACTAGGAGTGGGCTCTGAGGTTTCTTTCTCTGCTGTCTTTAGATCAGGATGTAAGGCTCTCAGCTACTGCTCCAGTGTCATGACTGTCTGCTTCTAGCCATGATGGTCATGGACTCTACTACCCTCTGAAACCATGAGCCCCAAATTAAATACTTTCTCAGGCTTGCCTTGGTCATTGTGTCTCTTCACAGCAATAAAACACTAACAAAGATATCATTCAAAGCACCCAATTACCTGTTTGTTTGTTTTTTTTTTAAATTGTGCTTATTTCAACAGGGTCTCTTGTAAATTAGGCTGGTCTTAAACTTACTATGTTGCTGAGGGTGACCTTGAACTCCTGATCTTCTGGCCTCCATCTCCCAAGTGCTGGGATTGCAAGTGTATTCCTGGTTTTATGCAGCACTGGGAATGAAACTATGACTTCATCCATGTTAGGCAAGCACTCTACCAACTGAACTCCATCTGCAGCCCCATAACCTGTCTGTAAATGCTGCTAGAGCTCTAGTTGGGAGTAGCATGTGACTTGGGGGCAGATCTGCACCCACCAACATCATCTGGGTTTCAATGACAAAACTGAGTCTTGTAATAAAACAGAGATGAGTGGCTGGGTGCTCATCCCCCGACTTTGCCTGTCTCCTTCCTGACAGCTATGAGAGATTCACCAGCTGTTACAAACACTTCTACCAGCTGAATCCTGAGGTGACACGGCGGGTCTATGACAAGTTTGTGGCTCAGTTGCAGACATCCATCCGGGTGAGTGGCACAGCGGCCAGAAGGTCCTTTTTGTGTAGGTTTCTCTGTACATTCAGTTCCTTAGAGGTGGCAGCCTGTGGGCTGTCACTGTTGCTGGGCTCCTAGACTGTCATCCAGGGCAGTGGCTGCAGCTCCAGGCACCCCTGCCCTCCAAACAGTGTGAGCCCTAAGTGCCCCTTCTCTCACTGCCCTGTAATATGTGTTTATTCATTGTCTGCCAGCCTAGGCCTGTGAGCTCAATCAGAGCAAGACAGGACTGACTTTTGTACCCCAGCTTCTGAAGAGACATTTTAAAAACTGAGTATTACTGGAAATGCCGAAAAGGACAGGGCTCCACTCATGTCTAAGTCACCGTGATGACTGCCCAGTGTGGTAGCGCACAGCTTTAATTCCAGGACTCAGGAGGCAGGTGGATCTGTGGGAGGTCAGGGCCAGCCGTGATTACACAGTGAGAACCTTCTTTAAAAAAAAGTTTCTGATGGGGTTGGGGAGGGAATGAGGGAGTGGGATACAGCTGGGACACAGAGTTAACAAAATGTAACTAATAAGAAAAATAAAATTAAAAAAAAAAGTTTCTGTGGTGTTCCTAGAGAGTCAGTTGTCTGTGCTCCTGCAGCAGGGTGGTCTTGTTCCAGTCAGCAACAGGCCTGCCCTGCAGACAAGAGGACTGTTCTCTCCCAAGTTACTCTTTGTAGCCCTGGCTGCCCTGAACTCAGAGACTTGTCTGCCTCTGCCCCACCCCTGCTTCTGGAGGGCTGCAATTAAAGGCATCTGCTACCATTTCTAGCATGTAGGATCTTTTTCAGTGTTTGATCTTTTTTATATTTTATTGTTTTAATTGTAAAAATCACACACTGTAGAGAAATTGGACTACTCAGGAGGCTGATCGAAATTAGACTAAATCTTCCTAAATGCTGTTAGCAGTTCTGCATGCTTCCACTGAGGGCAAGCATGAAGTCATCACAGCTCTCTCTTCCTTTCTACTCAGGAGGAAATCTCAGAAATAAAACAGGAGGGGAACCTCGAAGCTGTCCTGAACTCCCTGGATAAGATTGTAGAAGAAGGCAAAGATCACGGAGAGCCAGCCTGGTAAGAACAGTAGAGGGTACTTCAGGGCGCATCAGTGTGTGAACAGAGACTGATTCTCACTTGTAGCTGAGCTCCTGGACCCCTGGCCTCTAAAAGAGCACTTTCTGAGGCCTTCCTGGGACCCATGGTGCTTTATAAGGGCAAGTAGAAGCGAGAGCTCAGGGAGGTGCCAGATAGTGAGGTTTGGTTTCGTGGACAGATCAGGTGACCACACGCATGGCCTGAGTAATTTGTTTATTCAACAAATAATCGGGAAGCCTGTACTATCTGCTCAATGTGGTATCAGAGGCTGGAGATTCAGTAATGAACAGGCTGCCCTCTGCAGCTGGCATTTCACTGGACACCATGGTCACCTGGGCTGCTGTGTGCAGGAGAAGGAAGTGGGGGTGGGTTAAGGAGTGACCATGGTGGCCTGGGCTCCAGGAACCTTCCACTTCCTGCCCTTACATTACCGTATAGCTCCCAGGCTAGAATTGGCATATACCTTTTCTGTTATTATTGTTATTAGTAGTACTAGTAGTATTTTATTCTATTAGGCACTGAGTGTAGTGCCTCGGGCATGCTAGACAGGATTTTACTGGTGAGCTATGTCCTTAGCCCTCTTTCTTCACTGAATTTCCCTCAGCCGGGGGCTATAGAGATGGCTCAATGGCCAAGAATACTGGGTGTTATTCCTGGTCCTGTTACAGGACCAGGGTTTGGTTCCTAGCAGCCATGTAGCTGCTCATAAGCACTCTAAGCACTCTTCACTCCAGGTCTAGGAGGGTCAGTGTCCTCTGTGAGTCTGCCAGCACCAGGCACTCATGTGGCGCGCGCACGCACACACACACACACACACACACACACACACACACACACACACTCAGGCAAAGCACTATACACATAAAATACAAAATATATTATTTTGTTTGTTTGGTTTGGTTTTTTGTTGGTTTGTTTGTTTTTCAGTTTTTCAAGACAGGATTTCTCTCTGTAACCCTGGCTGTCCTGGAATTCTCTTCTGTATATCAAGCTAGCCTCAAATTCACAGAGATCTGCCTGTCTCCGCCTCCCAAGTGCTGGGATTAAAGGTGTGCACCACCACTGCCCAGCTAATAAAAAGGTTTTTTTCTTTTTGGCTTTCTGAGACAGGGTTTCTCTGTGTAGCCCTGGCTGTCCTGGAACTCACTCTGTAAACCAGGCTGGGCTCAAACTCAGAGATCTGCCTGCCTCTGCCTCCTGAGTGCTGGGATTAAAGGTGTGGGCCACCACTGCTTCCTTCCCGAGACAACACATTGTGTCATGTTGGCTGGCTGGAGCTTACTGTGTAGACAAGATCTCACAGAGATGTATCTGGGATGAAGGTGTGCACTAGCACACCTGGCCTCTAGGCTGTGAACCTCCACCTTCCACCCCTGCCTCTCAGGTACTGCAGGGTACCTAGATTACCTTAAAAAAATTAATGCTAATGACATGGCTCAGGATGGAGCCCACAGGCAGCCAGCCCACAAGCAGGTAGGGAAGAAGACTGGGGATCAGTAGGTGGCCTGGGCCTGGGACTAAAGTGTCTGTAGGCCTTTCCCCTGTGGTGGGCTCATCAGCAGAGGGAACTCACTCTCCAGGCAAGTAGCTCTATGTAGGATGCTTGGCTAAGGGTCCTCTGGCTCACTCAGCCCAGAGAACCCCCAAGCAGCCAGCACAACAGCTCCAAGCTCAGGGTCCTCTCTGCTGGGGACACCACTCAAATTTTAAAATTACATTTATTTATTCTTGGGGTGTGTGTGTGCCACAGTACATGTGTAGGGGCCAGAGGACAGCTGAAGTTTTAGAACTGAAATTTGTAGAACCTACAGTAATATTTGCTCATTGACTAACCTTGTTCTCTAAAACATCCATCCGTACCTACTAGCTCTCACAGGGCTCTGAGAGTCTGGGCCCTCTCTGAGGAGCCACCCAATCTGGGAAAGGTCACTGCCTCCATCCCTGATCTCCCTAACTCATAGTCTGTTGGGGTACTGTGCCAGCCTGGACACACATGGTCATAAGGACAGAGACAAGTGCTAGAAAGTTCTAGGGTGCTGAAGATGGATGAGTGTGGAGGCGCTGACTGAGGAGGCATGGACATATGCCTTTAGGCAGGGAGGCTCATGAGGCAGGAAGCCTGAGTTTGCATCAGGAACAGGTTTGGGAGGTAAACAGGATCCAAGAAGAGTCCTAGCCTAGCTCAGGACTTGAAGGTACTGTTACTGATTTGGTTTAGAGGTAAAGCCTCCTGTCCACTTACGTTCCTCCCTTTTTGTCCCCTGGGCCCATGTGTGCCTCTCCCCCCAAGGCGACCCAGTGGAATCCCAGAGATGGACCTGTGCAGTGTCATGGCACCCTACCTCCTGAAGCAACAGGATACCCTATGTCGCCGAGTGCGGAAACAGGAGGCCAAGAACCAGGAACTGGCTGACGCTGTTGTGGTCGGGCGCAGGCAGGTGGAAGAGCTGGAGCAGCAGGTTCAGGTCCTCCAGCAGGCATGGCAGGCAAGTGCTTGGCCCAGCCTGAGGGACCTCACTGGGGGCAGGCTGTGTCCACAGCAGTGCAGTCCCTCAGCACCTTTGCTGGGACGTGTTAGGTTGGCTTCTCCGAGCTTGAGCTGAAGTCAGTCGCTGCATGTGTTCCCGTGCAGCCGCTGAGAGTGTAAACAGAGTGCAGAGCCTGGGCCTCTGTCCAAGTGGAGCCCAGCCCCGAATGCAGTGCAGGCACGGCCAGAGGCCTTCAGTAGCATGCATCAGAATGACCCCAGAGGTCACCAGTTGTTCTCCAGGACATGGGTTGGTTCCTAGCACTCACATGGGGGCTCACAACTGTCATAACTCCAGTTCCAAGGAACCTGACACCCTCCTCTGGCCTCTGCACATTTCAAAAATAAAATAAAGGGCTCCAGAGCCTCTGACGCATGGGACAGGTGTCAGCAAGTTTGTGTCCCTTGAGGGAAAAGTCAATGTCTGAAATTGCTCCCAAGGGACTTTGAGGTACTGGAGCTGGGTAGTGCGGGTGGCAGGAGTGACTGGAGTAGTGAGATGGCTTCTTAGTGGCTCCAGATGCAGTTCCAAGGGTCTCAGGAAGGCCCAAGTGGCAGGGTTACTGCCAGGCCCTTTTCATCTGTCACATGGATGCCCAGCCTGCTTCTGAGGATCGTGGTTCCCAGGTTCATTCTGGCTTTCTCTTCCTGTGACCAGTTAGCTGCAACCTGCCCTGGTCTCAGAGAGGTGGCAGCAGCCAGTCTCCCAGCGCTGGTACGTGGAGCCACTCTTTCGATCCTCAGCCCGTCCATCCCCATGAGGCTCCTTAGCACTCCCATCTCCATGGATAACAATTGTCCAAACCATGCTCCCCGAACTATCAGCTGGATTGGTGTTCAGTCTTGACCCTCTGTGGGAGCTTCCAAGCCTCTCTTCACTCTCAGTGTTCAGTGACTAAGTGAGCACTTACCCAGCATGCCTAAGCCCTGGGTTCCACTTTCAGCTCTGCGGGGGATAAGTTTCTTCAGTGCCGTCAAAGGATCTAGAGCTACTTTTGGGATTCCTTGTTGAATGTGGAAAGGCCCAGCAGAGGTGGCTAGGGCATCCAGATGTGCCATAAATACTACTGGGTGGTAGGGACTTCCTGCTTGCCTTTGACCTGGCACATTCTGCCAGGTCAAAGGACCATGACACAAGCCATAGACCCATCCACAGGGTTCTAGGGGAACCAGGGCTGCAATGGGGCCTGGCACATAGGGTTTGCTCTTCTCACACCCCACATGACTGTTCTCTTCCTTTGGTTTTAGGCTCTGCACAGAGAGCAGAGGGAGCTACTGTCAGTGCTGAGGGCACCTGAGTGAGGAGCCACTGGGCCCTAGAGCAGAGGACATCATGGTCCTGTGGAGGCGGTTCCCAGGCAGTAATGGAGGCTCCCTTCAACCACTTAGGTTCTGGTAGGGTTACCCATACACCACCTTCAGATCCCTGCCGCCATCTTGTGCCTGGAGGCCTGGAACTCCCACCCTGGCATCAGAAACCAGGCTTTGTCTCCTGGAGTTGCAGCCGGCACTGCCCCACACCGTCCTGGTCCCCAGCCCTCCCTGGACCAGCTGGAGAATCGGTCTCTACTGATTGCTGCTTTGCTGGCCAGCTCACAGGCCCTTGCCATGTTCTCCCCAACTGATTGCCGCCTTGTTGACTGGCCTAAGGGCCCTTGCCATGTTCTCCCCACATCTGTAAATAAACTTCCTCTACTGCACTGTAATCTGTGAGGATGCTTCCTCGCCAGGCGTCTGGAGTCAAGACCATTTTTGGGCTCCTGAGCTCTGTCTGCAGTTAAGTCATCAGTCTGAGGACTCTGGAAGCCTACAGGCCAGGAGTGGGTTGTTTTGATCGCCCTGTGCAGACGGCAGCAGGAACCAGGGTCGTTGGGTTCCCTGAGGTCAGGGTGAGCCGTCACTGTGTGGCTGGCGCTGCCCTGTGCTGCTCGTTGGGGCAGAGAAACCTGTTTCAAAAAATAAAAAAACAACAACAAAAAAGAGAGTCGCAGCGTTTATGCCTCTGGATGCCTTGCTTCCTGTCTACCTGGCCCATTTCATCTAGTGCTGTCATCTGTAACTATTCTAAATTCAGATTGGTGGGTGGGCGACCAAAGACAGGCCACGGTGAGGTATAGTGGAACAGGTCTTTAATCCCAGCTCTCTGGAGGCAAAGGCAGGCAGATCTCTGAGTTTGAGGCCAGCCTGGTCTACATTCTGAGACCATCTCAGGGGAGAAAAAAAAACAAAAAACAAAAAACGTTGCCTTTCCAGGCACAGTGACACAAACCTGTAATCCCAGCACTCAGGAAGCAGAGGCAGGTGGATCTGTGAGTTCAAGGCCACCCTGGTCTAAAGATCAAGTTCTAGAGGAGCTGTGGCTACACAGAACAACCCTGTCTGAAACAAACAATAACAACAAAATGGTCAGGGTCAGACAGGTCATAATATCAGGTCGCCTTCTGCCTCAGGCTCAGCTACAGTGCTCTTCGGTCCGGTGAAGACGGGCCTTTGTACACCTGGTGGGGGAGCAGGCCCCTTTCTAAGGCTTCCACTAGGAGGTGGCCCTGGCAGGAGGAGAACCACAGGACCTGGACTTCATCTGCACATCTTGCAGGTCTGCCCAAGGTCTGCCCTTCCTGACCTGTGCTCCTCCGTTTGGCACTGTCCCGGAACTCAAGAGGCAGTCCTTTGTCAGCCTCGTGTCTGTGAGCTTTTGGCTCTTTGTTCTCATGCTACCTGTCCAAGTTACGGTTACTATTGCTGAGATGAAGCACCATGACCAAAGCAACTTGAGGAAAGGGATTATTTGCCTTATACTCCCATCATCAAAGGAAGTCAGGGCAGGAACTCAGGCAGGGCAGAACTTGAAGCAGGAGCTGTTGCAGAGGCCATAGAGGAGTGCTGCTTACTGCCTTGCTCAGCCTGCTTATAGAACCCAGGACCACCAGTCCAGGGATGGCACCTCTCACAATGACCTAGGCCCTCAGACATCACTAATTAAAAAGATTTTATGGTGGGACTTCCTAAATTGAGGTTTCCTCCTTTCAAGTTGACATAAAACTGACTAGCACACTACCCCACCCTTCTCCCCACTTGATGAGCTGAACTGCCCTGCCCTGGGCAAATGAGGACATTACTGATCACTCCTTTCCTGGGGTTTGGCTCCTGCCCTCGTGGCAGACATTGAAAATCACAGGCTACGAGAGCTGGAGCCCAGTTTGTCTCAACCTATTTTAGATCTCTGTGCAATCTCTAGGGTACTCATAGGGCCCAGCCAGTGCTCCAGCTGGGGCTGAGGGAGGTAGCAGAGACTAGGGGAGGTGGAACATCCCCTGGGGGAAAGAAAGGTCTAGGGCAGTGTCAGAGCCTGGCACTGATTGCGCCCACCCTCCACTCCCAAGGCCCAGCCCAGACAGCTGCAGTCACCAGCCACAGCACCCTTTGGGTTTGACCTACTGAGCCAGGGCACATGACCCCCAATTAGCCCTGGCCACATCCCCTGCCCCGCCTGCTCATACTGGGGCACAGGCAGCTGATATAAACTGGAGGCTGAAGGGCACAGAGCAGATAAGTCCCACACAGCACCCTGGTGCAGAGCTGACACCATGAGGACCCTCTCTCTGCTCACTCTCCTGGCGCTGGCTGCCTTGTGCCTCTCTGGCCCAGCAGGTGTGTGTCGTCCTTGTTCATTTCTTTGGATAGCCACCCTCCTGAAGGTCCCAAGCTTTGCTTAGGGACAGCAGAGGGGAAGGGACAAACCACCAGGAAGGCAGGGGTGGGAGAGATCAGAACTAACGAACTGTTTCTTTATAGATGCAAAGCCCAGTGGCCCTGAGTCTGACAAAGGTACTAGAAGGGAGCATGGCAGAGTCTCAGCCCTGCCCTTCACCCTGTCCCATAAGCCCCCAGGTCCCCCTGCCTTCTGCCTTCTCCCCATATTTCCTCCCAAACCCAAAGTTATCTGATCCTGTCCCTCTGCTCCACAGCCTTCATGTCCAAGCAGGAGGGCAATAAGGTAGTGAATAGAGTCCGACGCTACCTGGACCAAGGGCTTGGGTAAGTGGGAAGATGCCGGGCTAGGGTCCTTTGCCTTCCCTATTGGCAGGGAGTTGTGCCGAGGTGGTCTCCGTGAACTGCTGAGGGCAGTACGGTGCAGATCGATCCCTGTGACCAGGGCCCTGCAGCCTCTTGTGCCCTGGGAAGGGTGTGTGTGTACCCCGTGTTGGTTGATGCCACTGTACGGTGTTTCGCAGAGCCTCAGCCCCCTATTCAAATACCCTGGAGCCCAAGAGGGAGATATGCGAGCTCGACCCTGGGTGTGATGAACTAGCGGACCGAGTTGGCTTGCAGGATGCCTACAAGCGCTTCTACGGCACCACTGCTTAGGACATGTGTGGCCTGGAGCAAACAGCAGCCTCAGCTATGGCCCCTCTCCAAGATTCAACCTTCCCTGTTCCCTCCCTCTGCCCTGTGAGTATGGGTGGCACAGCTGTTCCAAAATAAAGTCCAGATGAGGAAGCTCTGGGCTCGAGTCTGTCCATTGTGGTGCGGATAGGGGCGGGGGAAGGCTTCACATTCAGTCCCAGAAAGCTACGGTCCAGGTCATTTGCTTGTTTATTAGACTGTTTTGTGAGGGACAGCACTGGAGGTGGCTTCCTAAAGTCCTGCAGGGCCCCCTCCCCCCCACTGCAGCCATTTTCTCACTGGGGATATATCCAGACATACAAACCAGAAAGACCTGGTCAGAGTGGTGAGCGCAGCAGGCAGCTGGTGTGTGGACGCAGAATGGCTGGCCCTGGGGCAGGGCAGGGCAGGGCAGGGCAGGCAGGCGTGTGGCCTGATGGAGCAAGCACTAATGATGACCTGAACTGAGCAGATTCCAGAGCAGCAGCAGCAGCAGGGTGAGGCCACGTGGGGCCTCACCCCTCCCCTCCACCTCAGCCTGGGCACCTGTCTCCACTCACAGGCCTTCACCACGTGTCTCTTGGGTCCTCTGTTGTTCGCCAGTCCCCCACAGTCTCTTTAGCCACTCCATTTAGGCTCAGGCCCATGTCAGGGCTCCTCCAGAGTTCTGAGGCCTGGCCTCTGCCCCCTCCATGCCAGTAGCAGAGCCAGACCTCACTGTTGTTTGGTCTGGAGTCCCTCCTCTAGTGGGCTCCCCCGCAGCAGGGTGCAGGTTCCCGGGCTCCGGAGCAAGAGGGCTGTGAAAGTGGCGATGATGAGCAGGTTCCCAATGCCTGCCAGGCTCAGTGTGGCCACGGCGGCCTCCAGGCCCAGCATGGGTTCCTGCGTGGCCAGCCAGGCTCTGCGGGACCCCATGTCAGCCAGCACCGCCTCCAGCTGGAAGTGGGTGCCCAGCACTGCACTGATATGGAACAGCTGGTGGCTGTGGCCTGGAGGGAGGGCAGACTGGTCAGGCACACACCCATCCCACTTTTGAACAGATCCACCTGTGGCGCAGGGCAGTCGGTCACCTGTCCTTTGGGCCTAAGAAGGAGAAAACCTGACCCCCTAGAGGTTCTGAAGCAGTGACTGGACTGAATTGCACGGAGCCCTAAATGCTGTCATCACTAAGGGGCTGGGGACTGGGATAGCCCCTCTTGGCTTTATCATCCACCCACAGGCTAGAATACCCCGTGTTCCCAGCTCACTCTGCACCTGGGGAAGCAGTCTTCCTGCTCCGCCAGGCCAGTCTGAGTCAGGCTTGTGCTCACCAATATAGTCGAAGCGCCCAGGTGCCAGGCGCTCTGGCAGACGGGCTGCAAAAAGGAAGCCTGCGAGCAGCGCACAGAGAAGGTGGTAGGCGTGGCTGGAGCTCAGCATGTCCTGCCCACAGCTGTGGGCCCTGCCCCAACACAGCCGCAGCTGGTAAGAGAAGAGAGAGCTGCCAGGGAGCATCTTTGGGAGAAGAAACAAGGGGTACATCTAGGACTGGTGGGGGCAAGGGGGCCTGTGCCTGGAGAGTAGCCAGAGAGCTGAGGTTGGAGACTGAGGGACACCATGAGGTCAAGAAGGCAGGTAGAAGGGGGGTCTGAGGAGACCCCTGGTAGCCTTACTCTGTAGAACAGCGGGAGGCTGTCAAACAAGAATGGGTAGGCAAAGGCGGCTGTGCGGAGAGCCTTGCTGAACCCGGGGCTTTCTAGCTCTGGGAACCTGAGGGGCAAGAAAAGCAGGTTGGTCTCCTCCCCTGGGGCGAGTATAGGTCAAGAAGAAGTTATCTTGGGCCAAAAGGGGTGAAGGAACTCAGTGGCTAAGAGAGCACTCAGGAGACAGGTGTCTTGAGGCATGCCTGTGACCCCTGAATTGCGAGGTGGAGGCAGGAAGATCAGCCATGCAACTCAAGATGGTGTTGTCTGCCTGCGGTCTCCTTTAGTCCCAGCGCTGGGGAGACAGAGCTGGCGGATCTCTGAGTTTGAAGCCTGCTCTATAGAGTGAGTTCAAGGACTACACAAAGAAACCTTGTTTGGGAAACAAAACAAAAGGAAGGACGGAGGGAGGGAGGGAGAGAGGGAGGGAGGGAGGGAGAAAGGGGACTCAAGGAGGAAAGGGGGAGGGAAAGGAATAGGGGCTGGTGGCTCAGCAGTATGGCACTCACACAATAAATACATGTAATAAAAAAGAAAAAAGAGAAGGCCCTCAGGACACAGGATTCCCCCCTCCCCCATGTAAATGCCACATCTGTTAAGTGTCCATAAAGACAATGTCATAACAGTAAGGCCTGGTACTGGATAGGGTACTGGGTGGCTCCTGAGCAGTGGGGTAACCCTGAGCCCTGCCTAACCTTTCCAGTCCTGGGAAGGCCCACAACCCACCGTGAGTAGCAGGAGAGGCCGGTGCACAGGAAGGAGTTGAGCACAGCAGCGGGCACGAAGAGCTGGTGCAGATGGCTGTGCAGCCAGGAGGCCGGCATGGAGTAGGCAGCATAGGGGAAGGCGCAGCCTGCGGCGAGGTGCGAGCTGAGGCTTGGGACTCGCCCTCTGCACCCCCACTCACCCCACTGCCCTCAGCTCACCCAGGCTGTAGAGGCTGAGCGCCCCGTAGTCCAGGAAGAAACAGATGTGGCGCGCACAGGGCGACATGGAGCTAAAGGTGTGCGCGCAGCAAGAGGCGAAGGGGTAGAGGCAGACGGGCAGGAGGAAGACCAGCAGCGGAAGGCGGTAGGGCTCTGCGCGGAAGCCGGGGCTACCCAATACCAGGAGGCGCCACAGGAAGTACCTGGGCCAGGCACCTATCAGACGCCCGGAAGCAGTGCCTGGCCAGTTCCTGGCCCCCACCTGGCAACCCCATCTGAACCAAAGGCAGAGCCTTCGCTCACCAAGTGGGCAGGAAGTGAGTCCAGATGTTGACCGTCTCATTGGTCATCTGGAAGGAGCTGAGGACACAGTCTAAGGCCGAGCTTGTGGGGCATCGGTAGCCAGAGATGATGCCATCTTCCCAGAACACCTGTGGGTAGTGGGGGAGCAGAGGCGTCACGGTACGCAGGCCTTCCGCCCTCCCCCGCCCCCCCCCGCCCCCCCGTGAAAAGTGTCTCCTAACAGCTGGGGGTGTCTTCAAGTCCAGCACTTGAGAGGCAGATGCAGGTGGATCTCTTGAGTTTGAGGCCCGCCTGGTCTACATATGGAGTTCCCAGGACAGCTGGGTCTACACAGAGAAACCCTGTCTTGGAAAACAGAAGAAAAAGAAAAAGTGTCTGGGAACAGGATAGAAGATGCACTGGAGATCACATTGGCCCCAAGCCAAGCCCTTTCTTACCAAGTCTTCCAAAGCCACAGCGCAAACAACAGAACCAAAGCAGTGGGATCAGATAAGATGGGAGAACACACGCACTTTCTCTCTCAAGCACACTCACACACAGTGTTCTGCAGAAAGGGAGTCTGCATGAACGGATATTTGGAGCTGTGGAGAGGTCACAGGTTCTTTACTGCAATGGAAAGATAAAGTTAGCTTGCAGGAGGAACTTCCCCAATAGCTAACATGAGGAAAATCTCTGACCCAGTGAGTACTCTGGAGAGGGCCAAGATTGATTGGTTGGGGCCCAGTCCTCACCCGGGGAACCTGATGGACTTGAAGGAGTTGAGGCAGCTTGAAGCTGAGCATTGTGGCTGGATACCTCCACGTTGACCTGGAGACAGAAGGTCAGGGATTGGCACCCATCCAGTTTCCTATGACCAGACTTAGGCTAGAGTGAGCCTCTGAGCCCACGATGGGCTCCCACACAGGTGGCCCCTTTCTCCTCCTGGCTCTAGCTTGGGCATCCGGTCTGAGGAGAGGTTGGAGGTCTCTGTGGGTCTGTAGTGAAGCAGCAAGACCGCCTCATGGTAGTAACCCCATTTGGGCTTTAGCCAGAACTGTGACTACAGAAGGGTCCCAGCAGAGGACGGAGACACAAAATTGGTGCCCTCGCTGGGCCTATAATCCCAACACTTGGGGGCAGACAGGGAGGCAGGAGCAGGCGGATCTCTGTGAGTTCAAGGCCATCCTGGTCTACAAAGGGAGTCCAGGACAACCAAGGCTACACAGCAAGACCCTGTCTGGAAAAACCAAACCAAAACCAAAACAAAAGAAAATGGGGGCCCTTGAGGAAATTGCTTAAAAAGGGCAAGGAATTAGGGGCTGCCCCCCTCTTGTCAAAGGACACCATTTGTGTCCTTGGGGGCACCTGGAGCCTCCTGGGTCCAGTGCCCCTCAGTCCAGACCTGTGCGCTGCATCCTAGGTGGCCTCGACCGCCTCTTAGCTGCCTTGCCCAGCACATTCCTTGGCACAGGTAGGGGTTGGGGGGAAAACACGGCGAGGGTGGGGTAAACGAGATGGGCAAGGCCACTGACCTGGACCTATAGAACCGATTCTTCTCTGTAGACTAAAACATCCCAGCAACTCCTGCCTCTAGCCCCGCCTGTCCTCCAGGGAGGTAGGAAACTTCACAATTAGTCTCTCCTCTGAGCTTGGTGCTGAGGGCCTTGACAACACAAACCTGGTCCCCAGACCCTTCATCTCAGGTGAAGAAGCGGTGTAGGAAAGGTGCCTGCAGTGATTGCTGTCCAGCTGCCCCGGGAAGGGCTGAGATGATCCGGGAAGGGGTCCCTCTGCTCTCAGCAACACGACCTGGAGATTTCTGCTGCAGTGAGGAATGTAAGGCTCTGCAGATGATCGACCTCCATTTGCCCAGGTGTAGGCTGCGTTACTCCATGGCCACGCTCCCAGCCATGTTGACTAGACTCAACAGGCAGTCTGGTTCCTGCCAGTCAGATTGACAGAAAAGTGGCAGGGGACGTGCGCCAGGCCTGGCAGAATGGAGAGACTGGAGGAGATGGGGAACAATCCTTAGCCTTGTCTGGCTGTCACGGGGCAGCGCAGGGTGGCCCAGCCCCATTAGCAGGCAGCTCACTTGGCCTCCAGCACACAGCCAGCCCTTTAGGGTGTGTCTGGGCCCACTTCACTGTGTTGTCTAGACTAAGTTAGGGGCCCAAGCTGGGATCTAATCTCCCTTGACAAGGACACCGGGTCAAAGCCTTCCAGGATCCAAGGTTGCTAAGCAGGAGGCTCCAAAACCAATTTTAGCTCCATCTCACAAGCAATCCTCTTTCGCCCTTGGTGAATGAATGTTGGCCGACCTGAGAAGGATGCAACAGTCTGACTGAATTGCCAGTCCAGGAAGGCAGTATTAAAAACCTTGGCTTCAAGCCCCATTCCTCCGGAAGACCACCACCCTGCTGGAAACACCAAACCAGCCACAGGCATATTCCTTGAACACTGTTCTGTAAACCAGAGGTGGTGGTGCTTCCTGAAATCTCAACCCTGCAGAGATGGAACCACCAAGGTCCGAGGCCAGGTTGGCTACAACAGCAATTTGAAAGCCTGCTTGAGTTCCTGAACTTGCTCAACTGCATGTGCTGGTGATAAGAGTTCAGTTGTAGTGAAAGTCAGAACTGACGTTATACAGGACTTAGGAGACATTAGGTCACATGAGTAGAATTTAAGTAAGCATGCTTCCGTAATACCACAAAGGCTGTCTAACCAGGCCTGTTGGAGGTGAGTGGGTGCTAGGATGGAAATATTTACTACATGCCAAGATGAACATGCCATTAAGCTGTTTTAAAAGATCTTTTTTAAATTTATGTACATTGGTGTTTTGACTGTGTGTCTGTGGGAGGAGTTAGTGGAGAGGCATGTAGGTGCTCGGATTGCACTCGGGTCCTCTGGAAGAGTAGTCAGTGCTCTTAACCTCTGAGCCATCCCTCCAGCCCCCCAAGCTGATTCTCTTAACAAAGGAGACAGTGACTTCCTATGGCCAACCAAAGGCAAAGCTCTTACAGGCAGCTCAGAGGGACAATGTAGGGTCAGCTACAAGCACCATTATATCCACTGCACTCTTATCAGGAAAAGCAGAATTTGCCAGGTGGGCAAAATTAAGTAACTATTCAAAAGAACACTGGCAAGGCATAGTGGCACATGCCTTTAATCCCCATCACTCAAAAGGTCAGAGTTTAAGGTCTATCTGCTCGGCATGGTGGCATATTCCTGTAATCCCAGCACTTGGGAGTTAAGAGGCAGGTGGATCTCTGAGAGTTTGAGGCCAGCCTGGTCTACAAAGCCAAGTCAGGACAGCCAAAGCTATACAGAGAAACCCTCTCAAAAAACCAAAAACAAACAAAAAAGAAAAACAGTAACAAAACCCCAAAACCAAATGAAACCTAACACCTGGGTGTCCTTCAAACAATTCTTGGCAGTATGTGTTCTTTGTGGCATTCAAAAGCACAAAATGTCAGCTACATGTTCAATGTTTTGTGAGTGCTTTGTTTTTATGAGTCCACACCAATGCGGAAGTCAGAAGTGGGAGATGTGTGTTTCCTGGATCTGGAGCTATGGATGGTTGTGAGGCACCACTGGGAATTGAATCCTGTCTCTCCAGCCTCATCAAGGTCTTATTTGAGCCTTAGCTTCAAGTGGCTCTCTTTATTTTTCACTGAAAAGGCATGTTATTTCTCTAACCATGTTGTGCTTGCCTAGCACATCAAGGCTCACCCCGGCAAAGCTCCTGCACAGAAAGCACAGTAGACAGAGTGGGCTTGGGGAGGGGATCTTTATTAAGTGATGCTTGAGTCTCAAGTCTGCCAGAATTGGAAATGTGGTAACCCCAACTGTCCCCTCGTTTTCCCAGACCTTCTGTCTTAGTGGAAGGCAGGAAGCCAGCTCCTCTAAGCACAGCCAAAGCAGCTAGGCCAGTCGGGGAAAGGAGAGGGAAGCAGGAAAGAACCCAGCCCCGGCTATGCTCTGCTTCCAGCCTGAGGGGTGGAACAGGGGTAGCCCTGGTCAGAGCCTCCCCTATAGCTCTGCTCTCAGGGTACCATTCTGGCCCCGCCCCCAGCTATTCATGATCTCTGCTCTAGTGTCATTTGACACTCCAAAACCTAGCCCTTGCCTAGCCTGACCAGGGCTCTGGTCCTGAGGATGGGCAAAAAGGGGGGTAGGCCAGGACAGAGGGCCGAGTAAGCAGCTTCCAGGGATCTTGCCTCTCCGCCACTCTTTCTCCAGCCCTCCCTGGATAGTGAGAGGGGTGGCCTTGGCTTTCGCTTGCTCCTTGGCACCCCTTACCCCAGCACAGCATCCAAGAGCACAAAGCACAGTGACTGAACTGGTGGGAAGGGATGACTGCTGGCATACAGCCAGACCACACCCTAAGTGGCCGGCAAGCTGAGCAACAGCAGAAAGTAAATGGGGCCTTGGAGTGTGCAGGCCCTGCTCTGTGGTACTGGCCATTTGAGGCCTTCCTTTCCTAAGAACCCCCACAGCTGGCCCCAGAGCTGCCCTATCCCCCATGGGAGATGGGGGAGGGGTCCTTGAGGATGGTAGGGTCTGCAGAGAACCATGCAGACACTCATTATCTTCCAACTCTTCCCTGAGAGCTAGGAGGTCCAAACTCCCAGCCCTACCCACCCTCAATCTTGGGTGAGGACCGGGCCCTTCTGGCATCCTTTCCTCTCACAGTCCAGGAACTGCTCCCATGAAATGCAGACACCATGCCTGCTCCTGCCCCTGGGGACGGCAGAAGGGTTAAGGTGGAAGGCTGGCCAGGGGTCCACAAACCATTCCCACACCAAGCACTTCCCTCACTTTCCTGATTTCGCCTTGGCAACAGGGGGCCCCCATCCTCCCAGCTGGCTCCTGGGCCCTCCTTGCAGCCTCAGTGCAGCTGGCCTTCCTTCCTGTTTGCGTGCTTGAATCTGCATGTGGTGGGGTGACTACAGGCGGTGGTCCTGGTAGCCAGGGAGAACAGGAGAAATCTGGAGTCAGCCCCACGGCACAGATTGGGGCCAGTCTCAACCAATCTCCTTCCACTGCCTGTAGAACTCCAGAACATTCTTGACGTCAACACTGGCATGGGCAGCAGCTTGCAGGGCAGCCTGTGGAATGACAGAGGAGAAAAGATGAAGCAGGGCCTAATCTGAAATAGCAGGCTGGGGAAGCAGTAACAGTGGGAAAAGAGTGGCTTGTCTGGAGGTTCTGAAATTGAGTACTCTCTGGTACCTCTTCCCAGCTGTCCACACACTCCCCACCTCACCTGAGACTTACCTGCATGGGCCCAGAGAGAGCACTGGGGTTGTCCAAATGAAGGCCTGTGATGATGGTCACCATGCCACTTGGGTCCTCCTCCCCTGCCCCCTGGGCCAGAGTTAGCTGTCTACAGCTGTCCAGAATCTTATAGAGGGTCCTGGGAATATGAGGTAAAGGGAACAAGGCCAAGCACTTCAATAATTTGAACATAAGACTCTCCAGGGGACAGGGTAGGCTAGAGACTAGGAGAGTGCTAGGAGACAAGAGAAGACAGGCAGCTGGGAATGGGTTCTAGAAGCTGGCCTTGGTGCTAGATGTAGACACAGATGTTGAGCCTAGGTATCTTTGGCCAAGGTAGGGAAGGGCTCTGGACTAAAGCAACTTTGGAATTATGGGAGGGTCTTGGTAGGCTATGCTGGCCCATGCTGCTCCAAGGGTAGGGGCAGTTCACAGAGGTGCTGGCAGAGTCTGCTCCTGACAGGTTTCAGGGGGGCTGACACTTTACCAGGCATCTGCATCTTGCCTCTTCAGTTTATGCCGTTCAAAGCTCTTTCCCACCTCCTTCTGGCACCGAATGTATCTGCAAAGGAGATGACGAAGGTGGGGCAGGAGACAGGGAGGATGCTTTACACTGGGCAGGCCATTGTGGCTGGGCAGAGTGTGTCAGCTCAGGGAGACAGGGTAACTGCATCCCTCCCATTAGGCTGCTGGGAGCCATTTTAAAGTAGCTTCCTGGGTACTGGGCTGGCTTTCTCTGCTGATAACATCAAGTTTCTGGTTTTTCCTAAGGGAGGAGCTAGGAAGGCAGCAGAAGCAGATACTTTCAAACTGGAGCTTCTGGAGGTGACCTCCAAACAAAGCAGGCCTTGTGCAGCTAGCTTCCTGACCAGGCAGGCCAGAGGAGGGTGGAGGGGAGCTCATTCTTCCTCTCTTGCTCCCTCAGTCCTAAAGGCTAGAAGGGGGTAGGTAAGGGTGTGCTCTTGCTTCTCCATAGATAGCTTCAACAGCTTCCTTAGTGGGCAGACAAGAAGCCTGGTCCTTGGTTACCACATGAAGCAAGACAGGTCCTTCAAAGGAGCCCCGGCCTAGGGGTAGGCCCCATCTGTTACTTTCTCCCGGCAGGTGCTGCCCAGGTCTGCCTTAGGGACACGGGGCAGTGGCTCAGATCTCCAGGGCTTTAGACAACCTCCTTGCCCCAGCAACTGAGACCCAAAGAGGCACGTGAATGTGAGTGATGTCTCAGGCAGCCTCTCACTTGAAGGGGGAAGAGAGCTCCTAAGTATGCTGGATAATGGACCCAGGCTGCACAAAGGTCCCAGCCAAGGCCGGACTCTCACCTGTTTCCTTTTTTAAACTCTGCCTCCAGGTACCGGATCCCATCCCGGGCCCCTGGCTGTTCCTTCTTCAGCAAATCCAGGCCATCAATCACTGGTGGGCAGAGCAGGAGTAGGTAAGGACAAGACAGTAAGCTCAGACTGCAGACCACTGCAGGTCTACATGGTACGGGAGATGTAGGCAGGACTGTGATGTCAAAAATGTGACCAGACAGCAATAAACTTAGCAGCTCCCCAAGCACTTCCACTAAAGTTTCTCATCCACTTCCCTATGTTTTCTGCAGAAGTGTTTACAGCCTTTGTTAAGG